AAAATAAAACTTGGTTTTTATAATTCATTTAGGAGTGCTGTTTAAATATGCAAGCAAAAAAAAATGCTTTGCCATCTGTTGATGGCTGGATGTTTAGAAAAAACAGATCCAACTTCATCAAACTGTTCCAGAAAGCTAGTGGTGTTCTGTTTTAAAACTCTGAAAAAAATTGCCACGTGCAGTTCATTTTCTGACATTTTAATTAGCAATGTGAAATTTAGCAAAGAAATCTGAGGGCTTAAAACATATTGAGTGTGAAGTAAAATAGTGTGTGTATTTATTTCAGTTTATAGAAGTGCTAAAAAGGATGCCTGTAAGGAATGTAGTGTAAGGAAACAGACAAGGAGCACTTGCTCACTTACTTTTTTCCTTTATGTCCTAATTTTTTATCTAAACTGTTTTAAGTTCCCCCATCAATACTGTCTTTTCCCTTTATTATTATTATTAACTAGGTGCCAGCGTATTTGATGCTTGACACTGTACAAAGAACGTAAAGAGATATTGTCCCAGCACCGAGAACCTTACACTTCATACTGGCGGTTTTAATCATCCACTTGCCCTTTCTGATTTAGTGGTCTATTGTATAGTCCTCCAGTAATTTGCTTCAAACAATACTACCTCTGACTTCAGTCCCACTCTGCTTCCTGGATGCTGTCCACCACTGCTCCTTCTTTCTTTGACATGTAAAGATTTTCCCCTTTCATTTTGTGTCCCCAGCGTTTAACTGTACTGGACTCCAACATATTTCATTTTTATGCTCAGAATAACAGTACAGTTCTTATTTTTTGCATACATATTGTAAGGAAGGAACCTTAACTCAAATGACAAAAGCCAGTTAGTTAAAACAATAGGATCAGATCTACAAAGGGATTTAGATGTCCAAGTCCCAGTTTTCGTCACCACTGTGATCTACAAAACCCTTGCTCAGTTGCCACCTGACTCTGTACATGCCTAAATTGTTACTGTAAAAGTCCCTGGGCACCTAAGTTTCTGCCTCTGGGTATGCATCCGGACACCTGTCTCCTGCCTAAACCCCAGCGTGACCCTCTAAGCAGGGGAAGATAGGAATTCCTCTGTTCAGCTTGTCTGCGGGGCCCAAATCCTGTAGGAGTGCTCAAAGCATGCCTAACTCCACACAAAATTACCCTAACCATTGAGCTAAACTCCCCTCTTCCTGGCCATTTTGTGTGGAAGTGGGCAGGTGCCTATGCTGTTTCTTGCAAGGGCTTAGGTGCAATCATCTGACTCCAGGGGAGGGGCTCCTGGCTGTGGATCACAAGCAGAGATAGGTGTCTCCCTGCAGCCCAGATATCAGGTTGCCAACAGTCCTGTATTATAAGGGATGTCCCTTGTTTAAATAAAAAATTGCTTGTCCCTTACTAAATCAGTATGGGCTGCCATTTCACCCGTATTTCAGCCAGGGGTGTTTTGGTACTGGAGCATCGAGCTGGCATCTGAAATCCAGGATGGAGCAGCAGTCCGACACTTTGCAAAGTGCTGCTAGCTGGCAACTTGACGATGGCACATAGGGTTGCAACTCCACTCAATTTGGCCCACCAGCCCCTTCATCCCTGGATCTCCACTGAATGCCCCTCCCCCCCAACCCCCGAAATCTGAAATGGTATCCCTGCTGGTTGTTGCAAAGCCTCCTCCAGATGCTGCCTTCCTCCAGTCTGCAACCTTCTTTCAACCCCTACCTCCAGCAATGCACAGCACTGCGGCAGAGACTAGCAACTGCAGCCTCCAACTCCGCTCCCAGCACCTGTACAGAACTGAACAGGAGCTGCAGTGGCTACCCAGCCCAGTGCCTGAGGCCCTGGGTTCACTGCAGATCCTAGAGCTGGAGAGAGAGAACCCTTAGGAAGGATGAGGGAGGAGAAGGGACTTGCCTTCAGAGGCTCACGTCAGGACATCTGAGGTCTGTCCCATATTTCGGAAATACAATGTTGGCAGTCCTATTTAGGCATAAAGAAAAGGAGTACTTGTGGCACCTTAGAGACTAACCAATTTATTTGAGCATAAGCTTTCGTGAACTTTCAGAGCTGTAGCTCACGAAAGCTTATGCTCAAATAAATTGGTTAGTCTCTAAGGTGCCACAAGTACTCCTTTTCTTTTTGTGAATACAGACTAACATGGCTGTTACTCTGAAACCTATTTAGGCATCTAACTCTATGAGAGGGGTAGGGTTTAGGACATAACCCTCTCTTCGGAATCTACCACTGTCTGGTTTAGACAGCTAGTTTGCTGGCTTTTATGGATCCCATTCTAAGGCTGAGTCAACACTACTTTGGGATCAATGCTCCAGCAACCGATGCACTGGTGGTCAATTTACCGAGTCTAGTGAAGACCCGCTAAATCGATAGCACAGCACTCTTGGGTCAACTGCAGTACACCACTGGGAACTAGAGGAATAAGGTAAGTCAACAGGAGAGTGTTTCCTATCGAACCAGTAAGTCGACTTAAGCTATGTCAATTCCAGCTATGTTATTCACGTAGCTGGAGTTGTGTAATTTAGGGCGATTTACCAAGGTAGTGTAGACATAGCCAAAGTCACCTATATCTCCCTATGCATTGTATAGGGAGCCTGTGTACACTTAACTCAGGCTTTGTGGATCCCAGTGACTTTCAAGGTGCCTAAAAGCATTGCAACATCCCTTTGTGGATCGAGGCCTTAGTCCTTAAGTCAGCCTTGACCACAGAGACTCCTGAAACAAGCTTCTAGATTTTGAATCTCTGACCAGATGCAAGAACATGTATTCCCACAAGGGTTCTGCTATTCCCCTCTAGTCCCACTACAGCAGAGGTGAGCAAACTATGGCCTGCGGGCCATGTCCGGCCTGCGGGACCCTCCTGCACAGCCCCTGAGCTCCTGGACGGGGAGGCTAGTCCCTGGCCCCTCCCCTGCTGTTTCCCCCCTCCCCCCGCAGCCTCAGCGTGCCACTGTTGCAGAACCACGGCCTGACCCAGTGCTCTGGGCGGCGTGGCTGTAGCACCATAAGCCACCGGTGCTCCAGGCAGCGCAGTAAGGGAGTGGGGGCTGGGGGGGGGTGGATAGAGGGCAGGGGAGTTCGAGGGTGTGGTCAGTGGTCGGGGTTCTGGATAGGGGTCAGGGCGGTCAGAGGGTGGGGAACAGGGGGGTTGGATGGGGCAAGGGTTCCGGGGGGCAGTCAGGAATGAGAGGGGTAGGTTGGATGCGGCGGCAGGGGGCAGTCAGGAGTGGGGGGTCTGGAGGCAGTCAGGGGACAGGGAGAAGGGGTGATTGGATGAGGCAGAGGTCCCAGGGGGAAGTCAGGAATGAGAGGAGGGGTTGGATGGGGTGGGGGGGGCAGTCAGGGGTTGGGGGTTCAGGGTTGGTCAGGGGACGGGGTGGTGGATGGGACAGGAGTCCCGGGGGGGCTGTCAGGGGGTGAGAAGCGAGGGGGTCGGATAGGAGGCAGGGGCCAGGCCACCCCTGGCTGTTTGGGGACACACAGCCTCCCCTAACCGGCCCTCCATACAATTTTGGAAACCTGATGTGGCCTGCAGGCCAAAAAGTTTGCCCACCCCTGCACTACAGGGTTTGATATAAATCTTCCCTACTTAAACACAAGGATGACCTTACTGATAACGTTACCTTTCATTGTATGTGAAGAACACTAACCACCACCAAGAATACCACCAATATGCTAATTTCAATATTAAATAACCAGTCCCAAATCTAAAGTTACCCCCTTTCTATTGTCCCAGTTGTCTTCTGCCAATTTAGATGTTCCCAGGCTCCCAGCAGGCCTACTTATCATGTAGTCCAGAGTCAATTAATTGTATAGCCACTCCTAAAGTATCCAACACTGGACTGTAGTTTGAGGATTACACCCCACACTTAATGCTGACATATACTAGACTGTCATGAGCTTCTCCCCAGTCTTGGTGCCAACACTACAATGTAGGGCAACCATACATGAGAAGAGTCCAGTTTTTCCCCACATCCTGTTTGAGCCAAAACTCTTGACATGCATAGAATCCTAAATATTTTAATGCCTGGGCATCCTGACTGGCTTAAAGAAACAATGCAGTAATTACCCTCACTGGCACAAAGATGAATTAAGCCCTACCTCTGCATTTCTGTCTATTAATGCCTGGTGGGGTTGATTAAATTAAAACAATGTATGTAATTAATTTTCTCAGCCCTTTTTTGTCTACTCTGCTTCTTCATGTTGTAGCTTTTTTTTAGAGCAAACACACACTAAGTAATTAGTAGCTAGTTAGTTGCAATTAACTCACAAATTAACCATGAGCAAGAGAGAGGGTGCTGAAACTTCCAAGGCAAAACTGTACAGTATTTCCAAAGCAGCATTCTCCACAGGCCTCACACCACAGCCAAAGTAAGAAGTATGTCCCCAGTTCTCCACCCTTGGACATTCTGCAGTGAGAGATGAGGATCTGGTCTGACTATGGCTTCTAGCCGATTGACCATTTTCTCTTCAGTCGTCTGGCCTGACTCTTATTACCCAGGTTTCTAGGGATTGTATTCTGGAGACAGGTTTCAGAGCAGCAGCCGTGTTAGTCTGTATCCGCAAAAAGAAAAGGACTTGTGGCACCTTAGAGGCTAACCAATTTATTTGAGCATAAGATTTCGTGAGCTACAGCTCACTTCATCGGATGCATTCAGTGGATGCAGTGGATTCCACTGAATGCATCCGATGAAGTGAGCTGTAGCTCACGAAATCTTACATTCTGGAGACAGTTCACTTTGGTTTAGTTTAGTCCATTCGCCACAGCTCCGAGCTGCATGATAACGCTCCGTTATTACACCCTGGCAGCTTTTCTGCAACGTTCTGCTTTGGCCAGGGCTACAACCTCCCCCTTGCTGTTCGCTTTCCCGGCAGATCAGGCAAAACGTGCTCAGCCACTTCTGAGGGCCGGGAGAGCGAGCCCGGAGGCTCACCGGCCCGCCCCATCCCTGCACTAGCGCTTGGCGCGTCTCGGCCATTGCTGGGCTCCCCGCCTCGGTACTCAAGGCAGCAAGGTCCCGCCGCAGGAGGCGGCTGGGCCAAGCGCCCTTCAGCGGGAGCGGGGAGGGGGGGCAGAGAAGGCGCCGGCGGGTGCTTCAGCTCGGCCGGAACAAAGCGGCAGGGGCGGAGCTCGGTCCCCGCTGTGCAGCGCGGGGAGGCGGGTCCCGGCAGCAGCAGCAGCCCCCGGGAGGCGGCCTCCGCGAGCCCCGCTGCTTCTTTCTCGGCCCGCTCCGCCGGCAGCGCCATGGCCGCGGCCCCGCTGGGCGGCGCCGCCGGGAGCCTGCTGCAGTTCCTGAGGCTGGTGGGGCAGCTCAAGGTGATGGGGCTGAGGGCGACGGGAGGCCGTGAAGAGCCAAGGACAGGCCCTGGCCACGGGGCGGGAAGCCCAAGGGCCGGGGAGGGGCCGGTCGGGGGCGAGGTTTAGCTCAGCCGCCCACCCGGGCGCGGGATGAAAACACCAAACCCAGCCCGCCAGGTACTGGCTGCGTGACTCGCTGCCGCGCCAGGTGCCCGCTGGAGTCAGTGTGCGCGGTGCGGGCTGTCACCCCCTTGTAGCAAAGCCGGGGCCGGGCTCCGGAGCTGCCCGTCAGGGGGGCGCGGAACTGACTGGGCCAAAAGCCCCAGAAGCGAGTGGGAGGCAGAGCTGAGGCTAGAAATCGGGAGCTCTAGGTTCCCAGCCTTGTGCTCAGTTTACCAAACCCTGGTGCCTGCTTTCCTCCTTGTCAGTTAATAGACCGCCTGCGGCAGGATCACACTTGAGTCCACATCCCTTCCTCCATCGACTCCCATTTTAAATGTCAGTAGGTGGGTCTTCTCTAGAGCCCTGGAGCTAAATGTCAGTGCAAGTCTCTGGATAAAAAACTTAACTCAGCCTAAAAAGTAAAGGAGTACTTGTGGCACCTTAGAGACTAACAAATTTATTTGAGCAGAAGCTTTCGTGAGCTACAGCTCACTTCATTGGATGCATTCAGTGGAAAATACAGTGGGGGATTTATATACACAGAGAACATGAAACAATGGGTGTTACCATACACACTGCAATGAAAGTGATCAGGTAAGGTGAGCTATTACCAGCAAGGGGGGGGGGGAGTCAGAGGGGCATTGCTGGCACATGATGGCATATATCACATTGGTAGATGTGCAGGTGAACGAGCCTCTGATAGTGTGGCTGATGTGATTAGGCCCTATGATGGTGTCCCCGAATAGATATGTGGACACAGTTGGCAACAGGCTTTGTTGCAAGGATAGGTTCCTGGGTTAGTGGTTCTGTTGTGTGGTGTGTGGTTGCTGGTGATTATTTGCTTCAGGTTGGGGGCTGTCTGTAAGCAAGGACTGGCCTGTCTCCCAAGATCTGTGAGAGTGATGGGTCGTCCTTCAGGATAGGTTGTAGATCCTTGATGATGCGTAGGAGAGGTTTTAGTTGGGGTCTGAAGGTGATGGCTAGTGGCGTTCTGTTAGCAAATACTCACAAGCAACCACACACGAGAACCACTAACCCAGGAACATATCTATGCAGGGGACACCATTATAGGGCCTAATCACATCAGCCACAATATCAGAGGCTCATTCACCTGCACATCTACCAATGTGATATATGCCATCATGTGCCAGCAATGCCCCTCTGCCATGTACATTGGTCAAACTGGACAGTCTCTACATAAAAGAATAAATGGACACAAATCAGACGTCAAGAATTATAACATTCAAAAACCAGTTGGAGAACACTTCAATCTCTCTGGTCACTCAATTACAGACCTATAAGTGGCAATACTTTGACAAAAAAACTTCAAAAACAGACTCCAACGAGAGACTGCTGAATTGGAATTAATTTGCAAACTGGATACAATTAACTTAGGCTTGAATAGAGACTGGGAGTGGATGGGTCATTACACAAAGTAAAACTATTTCCCCATGTTTATCCCCCCCCCTTCCACTCCCCACTTTTCCTCAGACGTTCTTGTCAACTGCTGGAAATGGCCCACCTTGATTATCACTACAAAAGGTACCCCCCGTACCCCCCCCCCTGTGGCTGGTAATAGCTCACCTTACCTGATCACTCTGGTTACAGTGTGTATGGTAACACCCATTGTTTCATGTTCTCTGTGTATATAAATCTCCCCACTGTATTTTCCATTGAATGCATCCGATGAAGTGAGCTGTAGCTCATGAAAGCTTATGCTCAAATAAATTTGTTAGTCTCTAAGGTGCAACAAGTCCTCCTTTTCTTTTTGTGAATACAGACTAAGACGCTGCTACTCTGAAACTTAACTCAGTCTGTGATCTGTTAGAGAAAATTCTGCTAGAGAACCCCACTGCTGCTCTATCTTATTTTGTATGTTAGTTTGTTAGCTTCCAGCGAAGGCTGAGTGCAGCAGCTCACCTTCTGTTCCTGCAGGAGTTTACCTGCTTGAGCCTGCCTGAAGCATATGCTGCTCCTGTGTTTCCTTGACTCATTTGTGTTGCCTGTACCACTGGTCTTGTGATACCTCAGGGGGTTATAGGACTACAGCCTTGATTCAAGTCCCTATAGATGGCTACACACACAGGTTTCTCTGGACTTGGCTTTAACTACCATGGTTGTGTTAAGATATGAGAACAATTGAAAAATTCTTTAGTCCCTGTTTTAATGTTTTTAGCCAAAGCCAAAGATTTTTGCTCCCAGTGGAGAACAGAGTGGTCCTGGCAGAAACCGTTTGAAGCAGAAACACTGCCAGTGGTGCAGGTTGGCAGACAGCTGAGGGATGGAAGGCTGATCCAAAAAATGTCATTGACTGAGCCTGGGGCTTACCTCAGAAGCTCTTGCATCTAATTCTAGTTCCTCTGAGCAAGTACTTTAACTGTCCCTAGTATCAATTTCCACCTCTGTAAAATGGGGATAATACAAATTACACCTACATTGCAGAGATAAAGATTAATTACAGTAGTTAATGTGTGACCAATGCTTTGAAGAAGTATAGTGCTATTTAAATGCTGAATATTATTTATTTATACTGAATGCGTGTGGGCAATCAAGCTGAAATGGTCTCTGAAAGCTGAAAAGGACAGATTTTCTGGTGGTGTGTGCTATGACTGTAGTATATTGCAATAGACTCTTGTCACAGGATCAATCATCTGTACTTTCAAACTAACTCTGGCTTTGTAACATTTATTTTTTCACTAACCTTGAATCATAGAATATCAGGGTTGGAAGGGACCTCAGGAGGTCATCTAGTCCAACCCCCTGCTCAAAAGCAGGACCAATCCCCAATTAAATTGAGGCTTCATTTATGCATGAGAAGGAAATGGTTACCCTTAATAGAACAAATTTCCATTGGTATCTCTTAAGCTAAATTCTTCAGAACATTTATTCAAATGTTTTATATTATTGTTAAAACTTTCTCCAAGCAGAGAGTACCACGAACAGGCTGGGTGTACAGGAATGTAGAGAAACCAGAGAGTGTATCGGATCATATGTACAGGATGGCAGTCATGGCTTTGGTAACTGAAGATAAACAACTTAATAAAGACAGGTAAGAATACTGATGGTGATGATCAGGCCTGTCTCGAGATTTGGGAACTGAGAACTAAATATTCATCACACCCTGGCAAGGAGTTTTAGAATATGGAGGGGGAATCAAAATTGATATTTTTTTCCATTCTTTCACAAGTTGCTATGTGCCTTCTGGAGTTGAGGACTGAGGAATTGTTTTATTAGCTAAAAGTGGAGGCTTGGACAGGCTGCTAAAACAGAATAGCTTCCAGCTTGATTTCTCTCAAGAGATGTACATAAGAAGGCTGAAGAATCCCGTTCAAAGAGGAGTTTGAAGTGCATGGTGAAGCAAAATCCATATTTTATGTAGCTTTTGATAGAGATTCTATTAACACTTGAGAGAAATAAAAAAATGTAATTAATTTAGCGTATAAAGGAAAACATAATTAGCATTGTATCACCTGTCAAGAATGGTACAGTATCATATTTGCTTTGTCACCTTCCTGAAGTGATGATAATAGACTTCTATAACTTGGAACTCATCTTTTCTAATGAAGCTTCAGGAAGTATAAACCACTTTAAATCATGTTACTGACACTGACTCCTGCACTGTCCACTACAATGGTCCATTGGCCTAGCAGAGAACATGCATGGCTACTTTCATAACTCAGAAACACAGGGCCTGATTGTCTACTGCCTTATTTGTTGTGAAGTTATTGACATCAGTGAGAAGTGAGATTGAAAAGGTTCTAAAACAATAGCATCATAATAGTAGCATTTTAGACTTGCTTTGCACAGGTGTCAATAACTTTGAGGTGCAAGGCACTGTAGAATCAGGCCCAGAGAGTTGAATGACATGGCAGAAGTTCCATAGCCAGTTTGTGGCAGAGGTGGAACAGATTCTTGATTTCCTCTTACGGGCTGGGGGAGAGCTGACAGATGCAGAAGAACACACCGTGTGGACAGAGGCATCCCTTAGGAGACACTCTGTTAACGGGGACACTCCACATCCTAGTGAAGAGGAGAGGATAGTAGTTGACAAAATACAGATAGGAACTGAAGAGAAACAAAGGGAAAAGTCCCATTCAATTACATCACATGGAGGCAGACAACTAAATATTGACAAATTTTATAAGTGCTTGTATACAAATTCTAGAAGTCTAAATAGTAAGATGGGTGAACCTGAGCGCCTGGTATTAAATGAGGATATGGATATAATAGGCATCACAGAAACTTGCTGGAATAGGATGTGGTAATACCAGGGTAGAAAATATATAGGAATGGCAGAGTAGGTCGTGCTGGTGGGAGAGTGGCACTGTATGTGAAAGAAAGCATAGAGTCAAATATAGTTAAAAAAAAAACAACGGTAAATCAAACTGTACCATAGAATCTCTATGGATAGACATTCCATGCTTGAATAATTAGAGTATAGCAGTGGGAATATACTACAGTAGAACTTCAGAGTTATGAACTGACCAGTCAACCACACACCTCATTGGGAACCAGAAATATGCAATCAGGCAGCAGCAGAGAACAGAAACCCCCCCACACCCCAGATACAGTACAGTACTGTGTTAAACATAAACTACAAAAAAAAGGGGGGGAGGGAAGCAGCATTTTTCTTCTGAAGTAAAGCTTCAAAGTTGTATTAAGTCAGTGTTCAGTTGTAAACTTTTGAAAGAACAACCACGTTTTGTTCAGAGTTATGAACAACCTCCATTCCTGAGGTGTTCGTAACTATAGGTTCTACTGTACTGACAACCTGACCAGGGTAGTAATAGTGATTGTGAAATGCTCAGGGAGATTAGAGAGGCTACAAAAACAGAAAATGCGACAATAATGGGGGATTTCAACTATCCCCATATTGATTGGGAACATGTCACCTCAGGGTGGGATGCACAGGTAAAATTTCTAGACACAAATAATGACTGCTTCTTGGAGCAGCTAGTGCTAGAATCCAAAAGGTGAGAGGCAATCCTTGATTTAGTTCTAGGTGGAGCATAGGATCTGGTCCAAGATGTGCAGTAATAGTGACCATAATGTAATTAAATTTAACAACTCTAGGGTGGGGAGGGAGGAAGGGGAGATGTACCAAAGAAACCCACCACAGTAGCATTTAACTTCTAAAAGGGGAACTACACAAAAATGAGGAAGCTACTTAAATGGTAATTTAAAGGAACAGTCACAAGAGTGAAATGCCTGCAAGCTGCATAGAAACTTTTAAAAAAATTCTATAATAGAGGCTCAAACTAAATGTATTTTCCCGCCTCTCTTCTCCTGCCCCTCCCAGGCCCCAAAAAAGCAAGAGGCCAAAAAAACCCCAAAACCATGGCGAAACAACAAGAGTAAAAGAGGTGGTGAGACCAAAAGACACCTTTTAAGAACTGGAAGTCAAATCCTACTGAGGAAAATAAAAAGGAGCATAAACTCTGGCAAGTCAAGTGTAGAAGTATAATTAGGTGGGCCAAAACAAATATGAAGAGCAACTAGCTAAGTATACAAAAACTATTAGCAACATTTTTTTGACTGGCAGGCTTCCTGCTTTTGATGCACTTAATCAGTGGGGCCACTGGATGATTGAGGGTACTAAAGGAGCACTCAGGGAAGACAAGGCCATTGGGGAGAAGCTAAATGAATTCTTTGCATTCGTCTTCACTGCAGAGGATGTGAGGGAGATTGCCATTCCTGAGCCATTCTTTTTAGGTGATAAGTCTGAGGACTGTCCCAGATTGAGGTGTCAGTAGAAGAGGTTTTGGAACAAATTCATAAATTAAACTGTAATAAGTCACCAGGTCCAGATGATATTCACCCAAGAGTTCTGAAGAAAGCCCAATATGAAATTGCAGAATCACTAACTGTGGTATGTAACCCATCACTTAAATCAGCCTCTGTACCACATGAGTGGAGGATACCTAAAATACATACTGATTATTAAAAAAGGTTCCAGAGGTGATCCTGGCTGGTAATTACAAGCTGTTAAGCCTAATTTCAGTACCAGGCAAAAGAAATGACTAAGGGGGAGAGGGGAGTGATAGTGGTCTATAAAACCATGAATAGTGTGGAGAAAGTGAATAAAGAAGGTTTATTTACTCCTTCACATAACGCAAGAACCAGGGGGGTCATCCAATGAAATTAATACGCAGCAGATTTAAAACAAACATAAAAAAGTACTTCTTTGCACAACTCACACTCATCCTGCGGAACTTATTGCCAGGGAATGTTTTGAATGCCAAAAGTATAACTAGGTTCAACAAAGAATTAGATAAGTTCCTGGAGGATAGGTCCATCAATGGCTTTTAGCCAAGATCATCAGGGATGCAACTCAATGCTCTGGGTCTCCCTAAACCTCTGACTCCCAGAAGCTGGGACTGGATGCACTTGATAATTGCCCTGTTCTATTAGCATGATCATCACAGTAGTATCTCAGTGCATTAAGCAACGTTACTAACATCGGTCACGTTTTTCTTCTCATTCTTTCCCTGGGGGGAAGACCGTGCAGTGGAGTGTTTTGTTTTGGAGTTTTTTAAAAATAAAATATACATTTTTCCCCCTCCTCTTCTTCCACCCCTTGCCACTATAGGTATATGCTAGAGAAGGCAAAGTGGGGAAAAAATGTGCCTTGCACGTAGATTGGAAGGTGGTGAGGTTTGTGATCATTCTTAGATTCTGGGGGAGTTCATTCCACAGTCTTTGGTTGGACCCTGAGAAGCTCTGTCTCCTGCAGGAACAAGCTTCACCCTTATTTCATTGTGCCAGAGGAATGAATGAACTTGAAGCCAACTGAAAAATCAGACTAGTAATACTTACCCACCATTGTAAAGTGCTTTGAGATCTACAGGATAGGGTCAGAGCACAAAGCATCATTGACAGCCAGATTTTTTTGGATGAGGTTGCTACGGCACAGAGAGGTTCACTGACTTGGCTGGAAGCCTGTGAGCCCTAGTGCGTTCCCTAGATCTGTGTTCTAGTCTTGCAACTTGCACTTACCTTGCTGATTGCTTTTAATGCTTTTTACTGCACTCTGTTAAAGAGAGCTGGGCTGTGCCACGACCATGAGTTGCTAACTTAGCTACATAATATATGTGTATTTTATCAGGTGGCATTTTGAATTTGTCAGGGCTCCATATATCTTTATACTTAGTAAATGCAAACATTGTTATCATCTGAGTAGTGTATAGTGTCCTTAGCTTTTATGTGGTAGGGGTTGGTAAATGATCTGCTAGGTAACTACACTGTTGTCACTTAGTATCTTTTGCTTTCTTCCTCCCTCCTCCCCCTCCCCCCAAAAAAAAACAAAAACAAAAAAAAACCAAGGCTTTTTGGTTTTGGATATCTATCCAAATATCTTTTCATACATAACAGTAACTAGCAACTGGGATTCAAATATACTATGGGATAGAAAATTATTTCACTAATACCGATCTATTAAATACAAGGGGGAAGGGAGAGTTTATCAATACTGCTTATTAATAAACAAAGTGTAACTATAAAGTTTATTGGCTGATCATGCAGTGTTTCTTTCCTTATCAGATGTGTACGACTAGCTCTGGTTCATGATATGGCTGAATGCATTGTTGGAGATATAGCACCTGCAGATAACATCTCCAAAGAGGAGAAACATCAGCGAGAGGAGGTTGGTACTCTGTAGAACTTTGTAAAGGCTTTGCATTTTATTTGTAGAGGTGAACAACTAGTTATTGGGGAGACCCTCAAAACAACAAAATACAGAACATGTATTTGTGCATGTATGCCAAGGAGTAGCACTACAAACCCCTGCTAATTTGACTTGTCTAAGTAACACCACAAAGTGCAAGATAATAAAAAGGAAGTTTTTTGAAAGAACCCAAACATTAGGCACCTGCCAAATGAATTGAGTGGATTTTCAGTAGTCTGAGATGTTAGTGAAGTTGCTCGTGTATGTCCATGCTTATTTTCTGGGGAGCAGAGGTACAGATCAGAAGAGAGAGGGACAGATAGTTAATACTTGACACATGGCACTAGACCAGTGGTTTTCAAACTTTTTGTATTGGTGACCCCTTTCACATAGCAAGCCTCTGAGTGTGACTGCCCCTTATAAATTAAAAATGAGGTGGGGGTAATTTAATGTAATGGGGGATCGGGGCTGTCAGCCCCTCAGAGCTGACAGCTCATGACCCCCATGTAACTGCCTTGTGATCCCCTGAGGGTCACAACCCCCAGTTTGAGAACCCTTGCACTAGACACTTCCAAAGTATCATACAAACTTTACCTGATTATTCTTATCGTACCCCTGTGTGGCAGGTAATCAGTGAGCCTGACAAACAAATGCAACTGTCTGAGTACATAATCTTTGACTTTAATAATGGCCACAAACATATCCATTAATCACAGTTTTGTCAGTTCTGGCTCTCTGTGTTATTTAAAGCTAAAAGAAAAGTTTTCCTACAATTACAGCTAGAGGGCACCACCTTACTTGATAATCTTTTCCAATGGATACAAATAAGTTGTTTAAAGAGTCTAAAAGAAAAACAGTCTTACAGTGAATTCTCTGCCACTCTTATGCTTAGATTTTTAAAAAAAATAATTCTAGCAATATGTTCCTGGTGAAAAGAAGATTGGACTTAAAAGATTAAAGGGCTGTTCAGAGTTCTTTAAATGCTATCTTTATTCACTGTAACATTGACTGTTCTGTTCTACTGTGTACCTGTTTGGAGTGTGCTTTTTAAAAAAAAAAAAAAAATGGTTTCCCTAATGCCTGCTGGGAATGTTTCTCCACTAAGGGCCAGACTTCTTAATGGCATTTAGGTGCTTAAAGAGGCAGGTAGGTGCCTAATGGAAGTTTCAAAAAGGCCTAGGAAGCTGTCTGCATCTTCAGAACACCAAATACCGATAAAAATCTGGCCCTAGGTGCCTGTTGCTCATCCTGGTCCCATTAAAGCAAATAGGAGTCTTGTCATTGATTTCTTTGGGAGCAGGATTGAGCCCTAAATAGTTATACTTCTGAAGTGCTATCTTTGTATAAAATAACACCTTGAGTGGCAAGTTTCAGCGTAACTGTATATTGGCATAAAACTTGGCCTTTCTTTTATGGTTGTTTGTTTTCAATTAGGACCTAAGTATTACTGGGGAAACAGAGTAGGACTCGAATGAAATTGATTAGTTGGAACAACATGCAAAGAGGATTCCGCTGTTCATACCAATAATTTGGTATTGCATCAAAACAGTGTTAAACTGTATCTGGTAACTGGGGTCAGTGCTCTGGCATCTGAGTTTGTTCATTTTGCTCAGAGGTCATTTCTAGATTACTGGAGTCAGTTATTGGATGGTGCTTTAGATTATTTTCTGCTGCTTGGGGCTAGTCCTCTACAATTTATTGAGCAGGTCTGGTGTGCAGAAATTATTTTGTACCCATTGCTTTTATTGTTCCATCAGCGGAGTTAGTACTGTACGTGTGCAGCTGTGGAGCGAGAGATGATTCAGTGTTTATGCAAAGGTGGTGGTGGACAAATTGTTTTCTGGAAAACAAAGGGAAAGATATTGTATTCAGATAATGGCCAAATGAAAGCAGGAGTCTGTCTTTCAGGCAGCTATGAAACATTTGACACAGCTGCTATCAGAAGATCTGAGAAAAGAAATCTATGAACTTTGGGAAGTAAGTATACATCACTTGATGCATTTATTCCACATTATTGCTTGCAACAGGACCAACAGATTGTCTTATATTCATGGTGTTTGGTGCCTACTGAAGTTCATAATCTTTATTCTAAAACCTTTAGAGCAAGATGGGTTTGGAATTTTTCTTTGGGGGTATGTTTATATGGCAGCAACTTTCTGAACTCTTTTTCATAAAGAAAACAAAATAATTCAGTATAATGACCCAAATTGTGCTCTTATACCTGTGTAGCCCCACTGCATTCGAGGGATTGATTTACATAACTGAGGGTGGGATTTGTCCCAGTATGTATATTTACCTGGTCAGACAGTGCTGTTCCATAAGCAACATAACCTTAAAAAGGACTATGGTTTTATCTTTGACAGTGTCTTAAATGAGAATTTCAACTAAATGAAAATATGAATTGGGAAGTAATACAGTGAAATAATAGGTGATATTTGAATTAAATTAAAATTATGGATTAAATTGAAAAATGATCATGTTGACCTGAAAATATCTTATCTTTATGCTAGAGCAGTTGTTCCCAGACTTGTTCCGCCGCTTGTGGAGGGAAAGCCCCTGGCAGGCCGGGCCCGTTTGTTTACCTGCGGTGTCCGCAGCTTCGGCCGATCGCGGGGCCCAGTGGCTGCAGTTTGCTGCTGCAGGCCAATGGGAGCCGCTGGAAGCAGCAGCCAGTACGTCCCTCGGCCTGCCAGGGGCTTTCCCTGCACAAGCGGCGGAACAAGTTTGGGAACCACTGTACTAGAGAATCTGTTATACATACAGAGGTGATCTGCTAGGATATTGTGATCTTGCAAAGAGACCTCTTGCTATTTGGCTAAGATCTTGTATTATCTGCAAGTCAGGAAACATTAGGCTGCTTTCTCCAAAAATTTGTGTTTAAAAAAAAAAATAATAATGATATATTTCCGCCAACATATGTTTCCGTTATATAGTAACTTTCCTTCACCAATTTTCTGCTTTTGTGTATTTTATTGTAAGCAGGTAGCTGTGAAGCCTTGACCTCTGTAACCTGAGGCTGCATTTAATACTGACATTCTTACCTGTTCCACTTGGATTGTATTTAAATAGGTTTCCAGATATTTGAAGACAAATTCTGCCCGCAGTTATATCTCCATTGACTTTAATTGAGTTGTGTTGGTTTAAGTGACAGCAGAACTGGATTTTTAAAGTTACATTCCAAAGTTAAAATAGTGAATCTGGGAAAACTGTAGTTAGTATTCATAAAATTAGCCCTTTCCTTTAGCCTTTTTCACTGGAAAGCTCCTCTAGCAGAGAGGCAGGAAGCCATTACAGAAAGAGTTAAACTATACCATGGGATTTCTCACATCTTTTTTTTTGCCTTGGGCTCCTGTCCCGACTTGTACAGGAGCTGATTCCCCATCCCCACCTAACCTAACTACAGCACACATTAGCTTTTTACCTTTCTCATTAAATATCATTTCTCATATGCACACTTTTTAGTTCATATTGTTAGTTGTATTATTTATTTTTGTTTCTACCTTCAGGGTAACTTAATCAGCATGGGGTTTCTTGCATAGGAGTGTCAGTGTACCACACTGAAAATATACACAAACCCTAGCCTTCACTGCTGTTAAGCAGCTAGTTCTATTTAAAAAAAAAAAAAAATCTCTGAAATATTCAATCAAAAATCTACTCTCAATTACACAAAGGCAATACCATGGACTTCAATGTTCCCTATGGAAAGTGAGAACGAATTAGCACAGGTTTGAGCTGGGGGTAGGATGGACAGGGTCTGTGGAAGATCCTCCCACAGCTCTGACAGTACAGTTGGTACCTGACTTGTGACATCCTCATTAGCTTGGTCCTTGAACTGACCGTCGCTTGTTTCCATTTGTGCCAACCGGGTGGATGGTTTTGAAGCGTGAAGAAAGGGGTACCAGAAAGAGACCACCAAAGCTGTTTTCACTTTGTAACCTAATTTAAGATGTGAACGTAACTCACTGGAGGCAAATGAGGACATTAGCACACTGAGTTACTTCCCTCTTTACCCACCATGATAAAGTTATCATTTATGATGTTGCCAAACAAAAATGTGAACTTTACTGACAAACAGAATGGATAAAATGCAGAATATGAAAATAATAGGATTAAACAGATTCACGAAAATAAGAGGCAGTGTTGAACAGCATTTTAAATTAAAATGTAAATTGAAGAAAAGCCCTAGACTTCAAAAAATCTTTTGAAAAAAATGTTAAAATGAAGACTTCAAATCAACTAATAATTAAAGCTTAATTGAAATTTCAAAATGTAATTTGAATTCAAATTGATTCTTACACTAGTATTTCACTGCCGTCAAAATCCAGATCCCCGAATTTGGAACCTACAGCAAAGAACATAATAAATGTGCAGATTTTTAGCAATATGTCACACATCCAGGTAAGCATGACAAGTTCATTATCTGAACACAACTGTGCTGGAATTACAAATTAGGATCTTGCCATTAGGCATGACAGCTCTACTATTGTCTTGTTAGAGGCAGGAAATGATGTATATTAATCAGTGTTCATGCTTCCCAAGTCATGGGAACTAGAAGTTCTGTTTTAAGGGCTGAGAGTTCCAGCAGTAGCCCACTTTCCTCTTTGTTTGTTTCAAGGCTCTGCCAAAATAGGCACCTATTCTCTGGTCAGTAGGTGAAATTCTGCTTTCACTTGTGCACAGCTCTCATCAAAATCAGTGGGAGTTGTTGCACGCAATTGAGAGGGGGCGGAAATAGCAAGTAAATCAAGGGACTTAAAAGGAAAAAAATAGGAAGAGAGAGAAATACATGAGCAGCTCAGACAGATTAAGCTAAAATGATCAAGAAGGAATGACAGGTTTAAAAAATACCTTTTGAGAACAGTGACAAATACAAGGAGCTGGGTAACAAAATGGAGGAACTAGAACCACTGGTGCAGGAAGTGGACCCAGATATTACAGGGATAACAGAAACCTGATGAAATAGGAGTAATGACTGGAGTACAGTTATTGAAGAGTATTTGCTGTCCAGGAAAGACACAAGTAAAGGTGGTGGAGTGTAATGATGAGGTAGACTGTAAAGAAATTAGAAGTGATGGAATAGATAAAAGGGTCTGTTTGGGTCAAAATCACTGGGGAAGAAGGCTGCCAAAGGCTCCCCTGGGGTAGTGCTTTGGATATGTTACAGACCCTCAAGATGTGATTTGGATATGGATAGAGATCTCTAATGTTTTAATTAAATAAATACTACTGGAAGTTTTATAATTATAGGAGACTTTATTTCCCAGCAATAGATTGGAGGGCAAGTGCTACTAATAATGGTAGGGCCCATATTGTCCTGCATGTGATAACTGACAGATTTTTTCACCAGATAATCACTGAACCAACAAGAGGTGATGTCATTTTAGATTCAACCTCGTAGAGAACTAGTTGTGGGGGATAATATTGGTCTAAGTGATCCTGAGCTAATTCAATTTAAACTAAATGGAAGGATAAACAAAAATAGGTCTGCAACTAGGGTCCCTGATTTCAAAAGGGCAAACTTCAAAAAATTAAGGGAACTAGTTAGGGAAGTTGACTGGACTAAAGAAGTCAAGGATCTGAAAGTGGAGGAGGCATGGAATTACTTTCTCAACGTTCCAGAAGCTCTCTGAAGCCTGCATCCCAAGGATTTTTAATGAATCTGTAAATTTTGGGGTTTCTTTATATGAGCTCAGATTCAGCAAAGCATTTCAGCATGTGAATAATAATATCCCTACTTAGTAAAGCACATAAACAAGTGTAAAGTCTCATGGAACTTAAGCATGTGCTGAAATGTTTTGCTGAATCAGAGCCTTAAAAAGACATGAGGTCTACTGTACTCTTGAATATCTGTGATACAGATGAAGAAATGCTAAGTCTAAGAAAGGCTTTTAGTTCTGGCACTGTGTGTTCCAGCATAGCAAATCAAATCTCTCTAATTGCACATCTGTTCAGGAATATGAACACCAGTCTACAGCAGAAGCCAGATTTGTAAAAGAGCTGGATCAGTGTGAGATGATACTCCAAGCATCTGAGTATGAAGAGTTGGAAAAAATGCCTGGAAGACTGCAGGACTTTTATGATTCAACTTCAGGTATGAAATCTGATTTTTGTAAACGAGAGAGAGGAGTGTCTGAATACCAGTGGGGCCTGATTCTTGGATTTAAAGTGGCAGATAGGTGCCTGAGTCTCCTTTACATTGCTGTCAGTGTAAAGAGGCCTGAAAGTGGGGATAAACTACATCGACACATTTAAAGGCTCTTTACATTGTAAGAGCGTGTGAAATAGTCTTAATATAAATGAGAATCGAGCCTAGTGAACAGGTTGCTTCAGATGTGCTTGTATTGTGTTTGGTTCCCTTCTATAGTATTTACTAGTGTTCATTTTACTTAATCTCTGCAAGATAAGGGAAAATAGATAATTTTATATACAGAGTTTAACAGTAATGAAGGGCTGTGTTCAAAAAGAGAGAGAACTCAACTTGTCTTGAAAAATAAGAACACAAGAATAAAAGAACCGGCACTATATAGTTAGACACAGTGTCAGTGGAAAGACTCCCATTGGATCAGTATATAGAGGGGGAACATCAGAATGAAATATTTGAAAGTGTAAGTGGTAACTATATCCCTAGCTGTGATCTTACTAGTGTTCCTACTTCCAAACTCAGTATTGTGAAACTGGAGATGCTACCCCTCACCACCTATTTCAGGGAACCTGCAGTTTGATCTGGTGTTTCTCTTTCCAGAAATGAAATAGATTCTTATAATCAAATATTCTGCCCAATCATCAGACAAATTTTAATTTAAGCTTTTGCTGCCAAGCCTTTACCCAAAGATTTAATTTTTTCTCCCGCCAGGGAAGCTTCAGAAAGTCTGTATGCAATGAGTTTTCTTGGCAACTGGCCTGCATAACATACCATGAAACATGCCTGTTTTACACTTTTACATGTCATTATAGCTCCAGTTCAGAAAAGAAATCATGTACGTATGCCATCACGATTCATAGGTTCTAGGGCAAGAAGGGTAATATTACCCCTGGTAATTGTTCCAGTGATTGATTACCCTCGGTGTTCATAAATTATGCTTTATTTCTAGTCTGACTTTGTCTAGTTTAAACTTCTAACCATTGCATCTTGTTATACCATTTGTTCCCTATATCGGTACTTACAGATGACCAAGTGACCCCTTAACCTTCTCTTTGTTAAACTAAACAGATTGAGCCTCTCACTGTAAGGCATGTTTTCCAATCCGTTAATTGTTGTTGCAGTTTTTCTCTCAACTCTCTCCAGTTTATCTTCTTGAACTGTGAGCACCAGAACTGGACACGCTTGTCCAGTAGCACGAGTTCCAAATCCAAAGGATAAGATGGAACGAATGCCCATTGACTGCAGGGAGATGTAAACATGAGCCTTAAGTTTAAATACGATCTGAATCAGGGTCCACAGCATGAATTTTTCATATTCAGACTCTTCCTCCCTCCAAATAGTGTATGGAACAGGACATACTCTAGGGAAATACTTGGATGAACTGTTGAACAGTTGCTCTTCTATAGTTATTCCTGAAACATCATAGATAGTGTTCACAATTAAAGGGAGAACATATGTACTAATGGTTTCTTTTGTGATATAATAGTTTGTGCCTGGAGAAACAGTATAATCTGTTACATAAAGGGAAAAGCATGATAATGAATTGTTTCTTTTCTTTCGTTTTACAGGAAAATTTAATCACCCAGAAGTAGTCCAACTTGTGTCGTCCATTAATATGGAAAGAAATGCAAAAATAGCTGCTACAACAAGTGAGCCACCCTCTTGAGGCATTTTAAAACTTCTGTAACTAAAATTTATTTTACTCCTTCTAATGTTTTGCTGCTACAGCATCACTAAGTTTTACAGTTTTTTTTCTTTCCATTAATTGCTTGGAATCTATGGAAAAATCTAGATAAGCAAAATAGGATAAATTTTGCATTTGATATCATAGCCCTATTTATACTGTTTGGCATCCTGTATCTTTTTTTTAAATTTGATGCAACCTGTTTAGTCAATTGCTTGATTCAGTTTTGGTTCATCATGAAATACAGTAGAACACCAGAGTTATGGACTGACTGGTCAACCAGACACCACTTGAGACCAAAAAAAAAGCAAATATGGTACTGTGCCCATATTGCATCTTAAAGGTAGGTACATCTGGGCTGCCTGTCCCCACCCCTATGTGTGGGGCACCTACTCCCAGGTAGGAGTTGAGATGTGCAGGCAAAGCTGTGAGCCCCTGCTGCCAGCCCAAGGCAGCTGGAGCAGAAGCAACATTGGGGTCTATGCTGCTTTCACCAGCATCCTTTCCTCCCCACCCCCAGTCGGGAGGGGGACAAGCTGGCCTGGACAAGACGCTGCCTCTGGAACCTGGCCTGGAGTGTGAACTGCTGGAGCCAGAGCTATGAACACCCTTTATTCCCAAGGTGTCTGTAACTTGGAGGTTCTACTGTATCCTCAAGAGATCAAATAACCAGTGTTAGTCCGGTTTATGGAAAAAGGTTCCATATGATACCAGTCTCCAAGAAGCCATCTTATGTGGCATTGTTACATTTACCTTACACGTGTGCTCCCAAAGTTACACTCCAAATGCTATCTTTTTATATATTATTTACAAGTAAAAAGGTCATCTAAAACTAGATTTAACCAAGCTGCTTTTTACCTTGTTTTTCCAGTACCATGGTGTACCCCTTAGCTCTGGCCACATGCATTCCAGATACCAAAGGGCATGATGGCACCACCTGGGTTTGTACTAGCAGAAAGCAATCATATGTCTTGTCCTATTCCCTTGGGATATTCCAGTACTGGTCTGTGAGAATAACTCCCTACTTGTTCCTATGGTAAAATGATCATATGTCCTGACCCTGACAACTTTTCTACCTACTTAAGCCAAAGTTTACTCTATCCTATAATACTTCAGCATTAGAGAAGAGGATTATAGTATGTAGCTAATGTAAGGGTATAGGCCAATTTAGGCTATATAACTGTTTGGTGCTATTGTACAAAACATTCTTAACCACTACTTGTTATCTTAGAAACAAAGTCATAATTTCCTTGTTTAGCATGGTACGGCTGCAATACAGTCACTTTGTTATATATTCAGTGGTACCCATTCTGCTGAGAGTAAGTTAACTTTTTCTTAACAGCCACAAAACACGTAAGGTTGACTGGTGCCCCTGCACAGTCTACTGAAAGGGTTGCGAATTTTGACTGGATGTATTCCTTGAGCCTTCTGGCCAGTGCTGGGGATGGTATAGGTGTACATATAATAGGTTGGTCCATGCACGCTTCTATCTTTGGTGTGCACTTAGTGAGCTCAGCAAAAACAGCCAGCATAATCAGAACCACTATACGGGGGGATAAGGCCCCATATGACTTTTTTTGGCTGTGGCCTATTCAAGAATTTTTTTTAAACAGAGCTGGCAAAGTGTACTCTGTGGCTTTGCTCAGTTTCTGAAGCCCTCAAAACTTTGGTCTGAGACTGTGCATGGAAAATTTTTAGGCCAAATACATTAATCATGCTAAATATTTTTGATGAGTTTAACTTGATTAATCATTTCTAGTGTGGGAGTGCCTAGGGGACTCCACCAGGTTGGAGCCCTATTTTACTAGTGAATGGCAGCAGTTCCTTCTGCCAAAGAGCTTGCTGTCTAAAAGAAAAGATGTAAGTGGATGAAACAAACAAGCAGGTTTGGAGAGGAACCAATGAAAACAATAGGAAGTTTTAAGACTAGATAAGGTGGGTGCACACTTTGTAGCCAATCAGCAGCAACAATTCCCCCCCCCCCCAATGTAGCCTAACTAACTATCCAGGGTAAGTCTGAAGGAATTCTGATTCCAGCTACAGATATCTCAGAGTCTAGAGTCTACCTTTGTAACAGTTCCTAACAATAATTAGGAAGCTAGGGGTATTTTTTCCTTCTTTCCCAAAGATGTATTACTGTCATAAATACACTGAATTAGAAGAACGAACTTAACTCCAGCCTGAAGGCCTACAGCAGTGTGACCCTGTCTTCTACTTACTGTTGCACTGCAAATCTTGTGACTCTCTCTTACAGTCCTAGACCCTAGAGTCATGAGAATACACCAGAATCTGATTTCAAGCACTCATAGTTGGAGGGGAAGGCTTGAACATGTGAATCCTAAAGTTGAAAAATGAGGAAGTAAAATAATTAAATCCAAATGGATTTAAAGAATTTCATTTTTTTAAATCTGGTGGGTTATTTTTTGCTTTTAATTTCTGGAATGCTTGGGGTAGACAATACCATAGGGATCTCAGTTGGCTACCACTCTTTGTTAATAGTTAGGAAAAGAGGCTGGGGAGATGTTTTTAAATATTCTGTTGAAAATCCACAAAATTTTTGGGTATAAAAATGCCATTCCAGAACTCTTGCACACTGTGCAGGTAGCAGGTACAGTCCTATTTGAAATGGCTATAATAAAGCATGAATTTTATTATCAGGTTTATATGTTTCTAACTATCGATGATGGGGGAAAAATAAACCCATTTCAGATAGATATTATAAACTGTGTGGCTGGCCCAAACCATCTGTCTGCAACTTTTTTTTTTGTATTTCCATTGTAACATCTTATTAGAACAAAACTATTACAAGGGGCATCTTGCTAATAAAAACACACAAGGCAGACACACATTTTAAAAACTCATTTACACAAACGAACTTTTTTTTAAATAAAAATGCTGCAACAGAAACTTGCCATTTGTCACAATTTTTTTAATGTGTTACACAAAAAGCAAATTAAATCACATTAAAGAGGCATTTGAGATGCGTTCAGAATCAACTTGTCACATGGGAGAATTTTAAGTGTAAGAAATTAAAAACACAACAAAAAAAACAGAACACCTGTAAAAACCATTTTGATACAGGATTTTCCTGACAAGCTTTTAGCAAAGCCTAGGATACAGAATGGCTAAAGTTGATTTGAAGCTTTCCAGTATGATGAAATTAAAGAGGCCTATTTTAAAAGCAGGCTAAATTCCTCTCTCCCCTCCCCCACATTCATGTTCATACTTGATAGGCTTGTGCTCATCTCAGTCTGGGGAACCAGGCTGCAGATTAGACAAAGTTTTCTTTTGCTGCCACCAATGGCTGGCTGGCAGACAATACTATAATAACCTTACTGTTCCTTCTCTTAAAATAATGCAACAAATCATGCTGCATCTAATCCAAGAGATGATTGTGGTTTCTTGGAGATTAAGCAATTAACATTCAAGGATCTGAATTATGCCCTGAAGTTCAGTAACCCAGGATAATTTGGCCCAGTCTGAAGCACATACTCATCCAGTGAGATGGTATGGAGGCAAACAGGTAGTTTGTGTTTTTGGTTTAATACTGAAATTGGTTCCCAGCATCAAAAGTCTATCAAACAGCAAGTAACAGAACATGTTTTTCAACTGTAGCGTTTCCTGCTCTGGGACAGTAACTGTGATCAACTTAGTCTGCATCTGAATAATTGGGTTCCTCTTTAGGAGAGGAAATTCAAAGACAGACTGCGGAAGTGAAAAAGGAATAGAGGCTCCAGTATAACAAGAAATGATTCTGTTTGACTCCTTAAGCAGCTCAGGTCATGTTTGTATTCTTCTCAGTAAAGAGCATAGTATAATTTGGTGGACAGCTGGTGGACAGGCTATTGCTGGCAACAGAAATCCTTACACAGTCCTAGACCCATCTGTCTGTTGTGTCACTGAGAGGGGTTACATCATCAGTGGAAACATGCATACTAAAAACACATTCAGTCCTTTAATTAAATAAATAAATAATCAAAGAAATTAACAACTGGACCAGTGGAGAGAAAAATACCATAAAGCAAGAACTGTTTGGTTACATTATAGAAATTGGAACATTAAGAAATGATGGTGTGTGCAATTTCTATGGAGTATAAAAATGCTTAATGGTAAAAATACCAATACATTTGGAAGAATGACCACAGTATCACATGGGTAAGGCCGTTTTCAAGAGGTTACAAAGCCATATGTCTCAAGCTGGCTGTAGAAAGGAAGCATAGAAAAAACTATGGGGCTAAGTCTCACCAGGTAGGATACAGCTGGCCACAAGGGGCTACAGTCTAACACTGAAGTTCCTCCTCGTCGTTCTCCGGAAGCGGAGTGCCTGTGATAGAGCCCCGAGTGCTGGCGTGGGCAGTAGAACTGAGAACTTCTTCAAAACTCCCCCCACTGTGGCTTGTCCCTCCAACCTTTGTCTGAAATATGGCAAATAAGTGAAGAAAACAGTGATTTTTTTCTCATTCCATTCTGCTTATTTCCCCTCCCCTCACACACTCAATGTTTTGTTTTAAAAGGAATTTGACTTACTTTTCTATGGAGATAGAGGAAGTGTATGTTCTCATACCCTGCAGAGTAGGTAGCACTTCAAAGCATACAATGGGCTTGTGTTCAGAGCTTTTGATACTTTTGTTTTTTTAAAAACAACATTTTAAATATCAAGGCTGAGTTCTTCAAAGCTGCCTCTGGTATTTGGAAATTAAGTGCCCATTACATTAAATGGGAACTGAGCATCCAAATCATTTAGGTGCTTTGAAAATTTCAGCCTTAGCATAGGGGTGTATGTTGTTGTTTTAATGAGTATGTTTTGTTTATTGTATTTCTCAGTAGGACTAGATTCTTCCTCCCTTTAATATGTTGAGTTGCAGCTCACTGTGTTATTAAAGCAACGGCTCTCTCTGCAAAATAAGGTACCATTCAATGTAGGTAACGGTGGCAGAATTGGGCAGTAGTGAGTAGATGTTACCCATTGAAGTCAACAGAATCAATTTGATAACTGGAGAAAACAAAGCGGTGTTAAGGGCTTTTAAAAAAATCAGATCCAAGTTTGTTTAAATTTACTTTCTGAATAAATTCTGTCTGAAGTAAGTCCCATGAATGAGGCACCTGAGGGAAATGCACAGCATCAACCTGTCTCCAGAGACATGGATTATGGAGAAACAGTGAGTGTAAGAACTAAAAATAAGTAAGTAACTATGTATAAAACTGCTTTGAAGCAGCATTTTCCTGACAAGATTTTAGCAAAGGCTAGGATGTTCAATCTGTAAATAAAGCTTTGCCAAACCCTAGCACATTTGTCCCCTCATCTCATCCAAGCATTTGCTTTCTTTAACTACTCCTCCGCTGGACAAACAGCAGATTTAGACAATTAAACTAGTAATTGCTGCCTTGAATTAACCTGAGAGTGTCCCTTAGTTCTGAGTTGTGGCCATGGCAGCACTTCTGCAAGTGGATTCAGGTCTGTGGATAGAGTGGGATATTTTTACCCCTTTCTACAGCTGAAACAGCATTTCCAGACACTCAGCCACGTGAATGCTTAGGAAGATGATTATAATTAAATGTACTCTGTGTTCTTTGTCTCCAAAGGGTTAATCCCATGTAATCCTTTGTTTCATTTGCTGATACATGATGAAGAACAGGATCAGCTTGTCTAGTTTGAGAGAGCTATAAAATAAGGTAGAGGATTGTAAGTACCTTGCCCAGAGCAATACAGGCCACAGCTGGAAAATCTCTATGAATTCTAGGAGCATTTACAAAACATTCCCTCTTTATTGATATTTGCACATGGAAATAGATGATGTTTTAAGAAAAAAAACAACAACATTGGCTGACCATAGATATGGAGACATGTTATGAACAGGCAGCAGTTGCTCCATGATTAAGCCTGCAACTGATTTTCCATTATAAGCCTTATTTTGGACCCATTTGTGAAAGCCACAAGTCACGTTGGCCTGAGATCTAGGACTGATGTAGCAGTTTTCTGCAAAATTTAAAGCAACTCAGACAATGGGGCACCTGAATTTGGACACCCTAAAAACGCAGCTGTTAAATCCAGTTACAATTTTTTTCTTTTTTTGGCCCACAATAGCTAAAAAACAGAGCTAAGGTGACAGATAAAAGCCGCTTTACTGGATTCCCCTAGCTGAGATCCAGTGTGTAGTTCATAGAACCATAGGTTTAGAAAGGACCACAAGTGTCATCTAGTCTAACCCCCTGCCAAGATGCAGGATTTGGTGCGTCTAAACCATCCAAGACAGATGGCTATCCAGCCTCCTTTTGAAAACATCCAGTGAAGGCGATTCCCTGACTTTCCTAGGCAGTTTGTTCCATTGTCCTGCTGTTCTTACAGCTAGGAAGTTTTTCCCTGAGATTTACTCTAAATCTGCTGTGCTGTAATTTGAACCCATTGCCTCTTGTCCTGCCCACTGTGGCAAGAGAACAATTTTTCTCTCTCTCTTTTTTTTAATGACAGCCTTACAAGTATTTGATGACCACTGTCATATCCCCCCTTAATCTCCTCTTTTCCAAACTAAACATACTCATTTCCTTCAGCCTCTGCTCATATGGCCTGCATTTCCCATCCCTTTGATCATCTTTGTGGCTCACCTCTGGATCCTTTCCAGTTTCTCTACATCCTTTTTACACATTGGTGACCAAAACTGGACACAGTACTCCAGCAGAGGCCTAACCAGCGCGGCATAGAGTGGTTTTATCGCCTCCTGTGGTTTGCACACTATGCCTCGGTTAATGCAACCCAAAACTTCATTTGCTTTTTTTGCAACAGCATCGCATTGTTGAGGTTGTGATCCCCCACAACTCCCAGATTCTTCTCAGCAGTGCTGCTGCCAAGCCAATTATCCCCCATTCTGTATTTGCACATTTAATTTTTCTTCCTTAAGAAATTTGTGTCTGTTCAATTTCATTTTGTCGTCTATAGCCCACATCTCCAATTTATCAAGATCTCATTGAATTTTAACTCTATCCTCCAAAGTGTTAGCAACTCCAACCTCCCCCCACCCCTGTGTCTCATCTGTAAATTGTGGTTGATTTTCAAAGGAACTCCAGGGAGTTAGATGCCCAGCCCCTATTGATTTTCAGGGAGAGTTGGGCAATAACTCTCAGGCCCCTTTGTCCAGCCTAAAGTCTAATTTCAAGGTTATTAACATTTGATTTAGTGAGATCACCAAGGAACATCAGCTCTGGCAATCTTACAACAGGACATCATCAGACTGCTGGAGACCAGTGTTTGCTTTTTAAAATACAATAAAATAAATGCCTCCATCCCCTTTCTTTGCAGGAAGGCTTATAAGGAAGTTCTCCCCTCCTCAGGAGCTCATTAGGTCACTCTTCATGGGAGAATGACCTCTGCTCGCCTCCAGACCCACTCCCTGGAAAGTCTGCTGCTGTTGAAAGTAGAGGAGTTCTGGCCCCTTGCAGGCCTTAGCCTTATCTGAAGAGGTAGGGAGGCTAGAGACAGCAAGATGTATGGGAAGAGAGGCACTTGATACTGAGACAGTGGCCACAGCTATCACCACCATCAACCTCCCTGATCACCATGGTGCTGAAAAATCATGACTGTTTTTTCCTCTTGTTCCTTGGTGCCAAGGGAGAAAAACAATGCTGAGTTACAATGTACGTGAAAGTCGCAGTAGGTTTGCCATGAAGGCTTGGCATTGACTTCAGTGTTTCTCTGGATATAGGAGCTGATCCCTTACCCATGACTCTGGGGTTAAGGACCTCAGTTATGAGACTGAAGAGCTCCTAGATGGTGGTTTACTTGCACCCTCAGCACTCAATAACATGGGATGATTTAGCTAAGACCCTGTTTGCCTACTTGTTCCAAACTTAGCAGAATGAGACCAGGATCTCAGGGTCTGTTCCGCAGGCAGATCAGTGTCAGAGGCTGATGCCTTCAGAACGGCCTCTAAGAAGTGAGCTGAGGTGACTTGCCTGCATTCATTTGGTGTAGTTGACACACTGGGCCCTGACTGGGGACTTGCCCCTTGCTGAAGCAGACCCTGAGTACATTTGACAGTGATGGAGCAGCAGGAGGTGCACAGCTTTCAACCAGTAGACTTGGCTTTGGCCATCTTAGGTAGGCCCTCAACATTGCAGGAAAGGCTTAGTGAAGCCTTCACAAGGAGTATAAATACCGAACAGGACTAAAAAGCCTAACACTAGCTCTAGTAACTACCCTCACTATAAGCAAATAATTATGTACAAAACCCACTCGATGGATAAGGGGGACTGACATGAACAATGGAAACCCCAGAGAATCCTGCTATGGCCTTTGGGGGTCATGGGAGCCCATGTGATGGTTGCACCTCCTTATACAGGTGTGTATGGTGGGAGCAGTGCTTAATTTGTGCCAGGGCTGAGCCCTGGCACCTCTAGGCTTGCTGCATCAGTTGTGAATGTAAAAAAAATTACTTGAGCCCCTGCAATTAATTGCTTGAGCCTTTCATTATAAATTAAGCATGTGGTCAGGGAGGATAAAGATTAAGCAGGATGCGCACACAGCAATTCCAAGCTCATTCATGCATAATGTACAATTTTAAAAGGGTTTCTTTTGGGTGACTGTGGCAGTTGAGCATAGAGAGATAAGTGAAAGTGTGGTAGGAGTGAAGGAGGTGGGAGGATATTTAAGGCACTGGCCTAGGAGCCTGGCGGTCTGACTTCAGTTCCCAGTGCTGACTGTGTGCGTCTCAGCTTCCCACTTGTGGAGTGAGGCTGGGACACTGGCACCCATGCAACAAACATTTTCAGTTCGTCTCAAGACTGAAGGTTGATGAATATAGCTCTAGTCAGCACAAAGAAAAAATGCACTTTGTGATCCCACTGAATCTTTACACCACACTGAACCAAGCAGCATTTTTTATGCACACATCGTCATCAGAAGCACGAGACAGCTTGGAAGATGGCCTCTCTGCTCACTCTCCGCACGGTGCAAAGGCTAGCGCCTTTCAAATGTGCCCGGCTCTGCTCTGTTCGTGTGGTAACACTAAAAGGTGCTACTGCCTCATGTCTGATCTCTCAACGGTTAATCATTGGGGTAGCTCAAGGTTGTCATACTTTACTTTTCCTTCAGTACAGACTTTTACACAGTTTTGAGGCAATCCAGAGAAAAGACTGACGTTAGCTGGGAAGTTAGTACTTGACATTCAAAACTCTGGGCCAGATCCAATGCTGGTGTAAATCGGCATAGATCCATCCATCAGTTCACCCCATTTAAGCACCCGACCTTCCCTGTTTCAATGGGGGCATTGGTTGAGACGGTTTATTTAAGCGGACAGACAATATAGTTTGTTACTTGGCATTCCAGAAGCAAAGAAAGAATATTTCTCTGCATATTGCCTTCATTTTCTTTCCTTGCACTACAGCTCCATGAAATCCTTCATGGAAGGATGAAATCCAATCTGCCTTTGGCACAAGTGACAGTGATGACTAAGCTGTCACTTTAACAAGCACAGCTCCTAATCATTACCTTCAGGCTTGTGATAGTGGTCTCAACCTTCTCCTCAAACGATTTGAAAGTTGGAGAATTCCTAGGAGGAAAAACACGATAAAAAAGAAAAGTGTCAGTTCTGAACCTGTGTACAGTAATGGCATAGTTTATTTTCCCAATTTCTGCTAGACCATGATCCCAGCACAGAGCGAAGACTGGTTATCAGTGTGCAACCACACATCAGTAGTGTACTACTAGCAGACGCTTGTGCTGCTGTCATTCAAATCCAATTGCACTAATCTGATGAGAATTTTTTTAAGTTACAAATTTGCAAGAGCAGAATCTGTGTAATAATTTAAACTGAATATTTACTATTCTATGACAGCTACTCTATGCTGTGATACATTTATAGTATCCTCCTTAGATCCAAGGGACTGCTGGCCTTAATTCTGCATTTCCTTGATTTTAGCCATTTGTTTTGTCCCCCTGAAATAAACTCGTCTGTGAATAGTAGGAAATTCAATGAAAATGACTTTTTAAAATCATTGTAATTTAGTGCCTGATCCTTCAAAGTGCTGAGCGCCTTCAATTCCCATTGCTTTCAAATGGAAACTGGAGATCTCAGCCTTTTGCAAGATCAGGCCCTTGGGGCTAGAGAGACACAAAGAAGCTGAGGCATGGAAGCACTGAACATTGCCACACCTAACTTTTAAGCATCTAGAAAATCACTGGGATTCACAAATCTTGGGTTAGGTTCCTTGGCTTCCAATACAATGAATGGGAACAGACAGGCACCTCATGGGGTTCACAAAAGCCAGCATGCTAGGGAGCTCCTTGACTAAGCTAATCAATGGGAGATGCCAAACCGAGGTGTGTGCTAAACCCTGCCCCCTCTAGAAAAGGGGCACCTAAGTTCCAGCTGCAGAAAAGTTCCTCCTTCTGCTTGTGATTCGCAGCGGCAACTGTCTCTTGGTGTTTGGCGCCTGTGCCATTTTGGCAATAAGCTGGAGGGAAGAGAGAAGGAGAACCTCCTTCATAACTTTTGTGTAAGTTGGTTTGTGGGGGCTCAGTCCAGTAGATGAGCGCTGAGCCTGCTCACTAGATCAGGGCCTGCAGGCACGTTAGCAGAAGAATGCCTATTTCCCCTTGGTCGGTGCATCACTGGTAGGGCGTCGGGACACCCGGCATGCGGCTGCAGCATGCATGCACGCACACAGACAGAAACACCGGCGCCTATGGAACTTTTAACAAACATGTAGGTGCTGACCAGTTTTAGACACTTGCATTGTTTGGAAGCAGCTGAGCAGGAGGTTTCTGAATCCCAATGGAGCCTGATTCTGGGATTTAGGCACCTAAAGTGCCTAAGTGGCAGTAAGCCCTTAGTGTGCATCTATCTACACCCAGTTCGGCCCCTAACCAAATCAACTGATGTTCTGTCTCTGACTCCAAAGAGGGTAGAAATGAGCCCTTTGAGTGAGAGTCACGGGTGTGAAAATACCTTAGAAGAAATAAAATGAACATGAGGAGTCTGATTTTTTAGTCAGCACAAGTGACAGTCCTCTTGCCAGCCAGCCTATTTTATTCAAAAACTGAACATAGCTTTTTTTAAAATGCTTTTGATTTTTAATATTGCCAGCGGAAAAGAAAAATGTATTGATCACAATCACGCTGTGGGCGTAAGAGATGTGATAAGCATATGCTCTCTCTTAGGGTGAGACCATGGATCACAGTCACCCAAGCAGAGGGATTAAGGTGCTCCCTTGATCTCCTAGTTGGACTACTCCCATCATGGTTACAACAACATCCCTGGGGCTACTACTCCCTATCCATGCAGATAGGTGGGGTATAGGCAAGCAGGCCTGGGGAGTGGGAAGAACCATGTTGGCCTTCACAGCTGAGCCAGGAGATGTAATCCTGGAGAAGTAAGAGAATGGCACGGTTAGTGCCCTCATTTTCTGCTCCTAACTCTACAACTTAGCCACCCATTTACAGTGTTCTGATTTATTAATCATGACCCACTGTCTAACAGACTCCTCTGGCATCACTACTTTCCTTTGGGTACATATTGCCCTTCTTCATTTACTGTAACAAGTGAAGAGGAGACATGGTCTACTGATCCCTGTAAGTCCAAACAATACTGAAGCAGATATCTGATCAGGTATTTAGTCCTTAAGGTTTATTTTTTCATTTCTATTTACTGAAATTTGTCTAATAAAGATACTTAGAAAGAAAAGGGCCAGATACTGCTCCCATTGACATGATAGCACAGTTCCTAGATGCAGTGAAAAGATTTAAATTTCACATTCGATAATATGGATCTATAAACATCCACTTCAAATTCTTCTCAGCTCCCTCTCATTTGTCTAACAGCCTGTACAGTACTTGAATAGTTAATAAATTAAAAGCCACCAAAGGGCCCAGTCTTGCAGCCCTTACTCAGATGAGTAATCCCATTGATTTAAACTAGCCTACTTATGCAAGTAAAAGCTGAAAGGTCAGGACCAAGAAAAGCAAATCCCCAAATAAAGTATATATGGTTTTACTTCAGCTTAGTGTATACAAATAATGTTGGCACATTATTACCTCATAGCAGGCATACTTATGGAATGGCGAATAGAGTAACTGCCATGTGAAAGCAAGGGAGAGGAAAGAAAAGACAGCACTATAAGCAACAGTTTGCAACATGATCAGCACACAGTCTACACGGCAATTTATTAATTCAGAGCGCTGGTACTCAGCTCCTGCTGCAAAGAGCTCTTCTCCTGACTTTGATCACAGAACATCTGTGCACCACCACCTCTGCACCTGATCAAGAGGCTGAATAGGGCTCAGAAGAACTGCACAGAGTATCTCCTGCTAACAATCCAATAATGTAATCAAACCTTTTCAGTTCACAAAAGCAAGGCATGTGCAGTCTAATATCACGCAGAGGGGTATGAAAGTGCCTTTCTAGTCCCTGTGAAGAGTAAAGCCTGTAAAGAACTCCGTAGGTGGTGAATAAATGAAATTCTAGGATTTAAGAGTGAACATAAAACTTTCTCTTATTTGAAATTAAGAATGGCTCCCAACTACATTTAAATATGCAGGCTAGGAGTACTTCATATACTGGAAGAGTATGTACTATACCAAAAATCCATTTATTGCTACTTTCACTATTGATCGACAGCCAAATCCTGGTCTTACAATGGGTGCTTTGCCTTAAGTGGCACCAGGATTTGAGCCTTATAAACCAAAGTGATTATAACAATTAAAACACAAAAACAGTCACATAAATTGTACATTATAATGTTCCTTATAAATTGGACATGCACTTACATAGTCTATCTATGAAACTGCTGTAAGTGGAGGGGGAGAAATCACACACACACACACGGACATAAAATAAAAAATTAGACGTGGAAAGATCTATTTGGGCATATGAACCCATCTTCCTGCCAATGCAGGTATGTTCTCTATTGTATATTTTCTAGTTAAGATCGTTTAAAAACCCTAACATACTGCAATACACCAATAACCATTCAGTAATAAACTCAAAACAAGGTTTTAACATTCAACTATTTCACACTGCTTTCAACCTTAAAAAGTACAAACCCTACAGCCCAAGCATTCCACAAATGCAATGGATCACATACACTTTTCCTGAACCCCCTACTAATGCCTGCAACAATTAACAATCCAGGTTAAATGAAACAAGCATATTTTCCATGTTGTTCTTGTGCCACATAGCTCCAGTTTTCTGCTCCTTTCCTATCCGAATAATTTAGAGCAGGCTGCTCATCAACTATCATAGACATGTACCAAATATAAGCTCTAAACAAAAAGATTATTTAATCCAAAATTACATTAAAACAGGATTCATTGGGAGGGGCCATGTGATGGATGCCATGAGTATGGAGAAAATTTGCTGAGTTCCTCATACCAATGCAATTTTATTTTCTTTAAAGAAAAATAAGGAGAGCGTATTCTTGCCACTCCAAATTATTGAATTTATAGGATGAGAGAAGGTCTGGCCTAGAATGGTGACTGTTGCAGCTGTTAACGTTACATGAGTCACCAAAGAACTCTAGTGAGTTTATTAAGAAGGGGCCTGTACAGCTGTGGGAGCTTCAACCCGTTAGGTGCTGAGCAGAGTTCGGTGGAGAATGGTAATTCTGTTTCATAAAGGGTTTCAATATTTGATTCCAGTCTGATTCAGAAACACTCCCCCTGCCCCCAAATTTTGATACTTGCTGTGAAAGGGAACTCAACTCTACTGGAAGCCCTTTGAACATTTTGAACTTAAACACAATTGTGTGTGTTTTGCAGGCTCAGCACCTGCTTATTTTTATTAGTTAGGGCCATGTTCTACCCTTGAATGTGTCTTCAGGACTCATGTGGAAGGCAACAGGAGTTTCTCAGTATATCTTAGGACAGGACTTGGGCATTATTGTTTCACTTAAAAGGTGGTAATTAATCAGTGATATGATAGTTACAAAACTCTGCTGTCCAAACACAATTTGTACTGAGCTTTTGCTGTTTATACGCCAACCTCTACAAATAACAAGGGACAGCTGAGATAACAGAACTGTATGTAAATGGATTTGCCTGAGAGAAACAATGTTTTGAACTCCATTATGTGAATTTTGAATCAAATCCAGGGGTCTCAAACACGTGACCTGCCAAGCTCCCCTCACCCCCCAGAGTTATTTTCTGTGGCCCGCAAAGCTCCCCAACCCCCACTCTCCCCCCCCAGAGTTATTTCCTGCGGCCGCCAAGCTCCCCTCCCCCCACAGCGCACCATGTCCCTGCTCCTCCACCTACCTCCCAGCACTTGCCCGCCGCCAAACAGCTGTTTGGCACGGCTTAGGACTTTCCAGGAGGGATAGGGAGGAGTGGGAACACAATGCGCTCAGGGGAGGAGGTGGAGAAGAAGCAGGGTCAGGGCGGGGATTTGGGGAAGGGGTTGGAATAGGAGCAGGGAAGGGGTGGGAAGAGGCAGGGCCTCATGGAAGGTGTCAGCGATGTGGCCCTCAGGCCAATGTACTAGTCTTCATGTGGCCCTCGTGGTGATTTGAGTTTGAGATCCCTGGCTAATCTATCCAAGAATGTGTAAACAACATTCTGAATCCAATCTGAAGGTCTTTTCACATACTCCAGCCATAACCCCACTAGGTTGATCACACTATAAAAATCAAGATGTTGTGGCTGATCTGGAACATGTTTTTATCTGGGATAATAATGTTAAAAGGAAAGAGGGCACAGTGTTAAACAAGCCATACCAAAGACAACGGCAGTATTTATGAAGGGCAATACACATCTTACCCAGTCGAATGTGACCTAGGAGGACAGCATAAAGAAAGAAGAGCAAGAGTTAAGAGTTGGTATATTATGAAGCAAAACATGGGTAAAAAAAAATCCAAACAATCTCCCATTAAAATGCCAAACAATCCTTGGGAGAAAAAGAAAGTCATATGCATCCATTTCTTGACACTTGGAGAATGTGGATCAGTTGAAAGTCCTTCAAATATACCTTCTTTAAATAAACTTCACCTATCTCTGTGTTACATAATCAAACAAATACTTGGCATGTACCAGAGTTGAGAGCATTAGTCCACTAAACCTTGTGCTGGCTCGGACTGTTTCATCTTCATTTTAAATCACTGTCTGAACAGACTTTCTTGGGTTCAATGAGACAGCACAGTACAACACACTTACAGCCAACAAGACTGGGTTACAGGACATAATTTTTACTGAGAAGAAAAAAGAAATTTTAAAGGATAGTAAAATAATAATAATGAGCATTAATGTTAAGAAGCTTGTGTTTTCAGAACTGCCAGCCAGAACAGTGCTTAGGAAAACAGGAATATATCTGCAGTCTCTAAATCCACGAAGCTGCCCTAAATACTGTTGGGAGCTGGTCTGGCATACAATTGGTCCCAGGACAGGGGAGCAACATATGGCTCTCTTGTGCCCTGTGCATATGGGGCATAGCTGAGAATCTAGGGCCATGTCTCCTCATTCATATTTATTCTCCTCCTACAACCCAGCCCTTTTTTACCATGCCCTCATAAAAGAGTAAGGAAACAGGTATGCAAGGGCCTTCATTCAGCATGGAGGGCTGTGACCAATGCTTAACTTTACCCTTGTCACTACACATAGGTTACCCTAGTGCTCCTTGTTGTGTGCTGCACAGGGACTTCCAGAATCAAAGCCTTTATATTTTCTCAAAGGAGGTGTTTGATTATCCACTTTCCAGATAGTCAAAGCAAAGAGCAACTAAGTGATCGCCTTCCCAAAGCCCTTGTATCCTTTAGGGACTCTCTCTCTTCCCTAGACGTATCATTCACTATCTGAAAGTTCTGGAAGATATCCAAATATCAGCTCTACCAACACACATTCACAGATATTCCAATTAACCCCTTAGCACCAAAGGGAAGAATTTCTGGGATTGAGTGCTAGGGTTTTAAAGACTTCAAGGAGATCCTGTCTGAGACAGTCGAGATTTACATGACCTAGTTTTGTATCATAAAACAAACTCCACCAAGAGGTTAATATTAAACTGTTATCCACAGAAAGTTTGCAGTATATATAATTGTCTCTCTCATTTGCACTTAGCTTAAGCATACTGAAACACAGCTAGTAGAAAGAAAAGGAGTACTTGTGGCACCTTAGAGACTAACCAATTTATTTGAGCATAAGCTTTCGGGAGCTACAGCTCACTTCATCGGATGCATACTGTGGAAAGTGTAGAAGATCTTATTATATACACACAAAGCATGAAAAAAATACCTCCTCCCACCCCACTCTCCTGCTGGTAATAGCTTATCCAAAGTGACCACTCTCCTTACATTGTGTATGATAATCAAGGTGGGCCATTTCCAGCACAAATCCAGGGTTTAACAAGAGGAAATAGGCTACCTTGCATAATGACTAAGCCACTCCCAGTCTCTATTCAAGCCTAAGTTAATTGTATGCAATTTGCAAATGAATTCCAATTCAGCAGTTTCTCGCTGGAGTCTGGATTTGAAGTTTTTTTGCTGTAAAATAGCGACTTACATGTCTGTAATCGCGTGACCAGAGAGATTGAAGTGTTCTCCGACTGGTTTATGAATGTTATAATTCTTGACATCTGATTTGTGTCCATTTACTCTTTTACGTAGAGACTGTCCAGTTTGACCAATGTACATGGCAGAGGGGCATTGCTGGCACATGATGGCATATATATTAGGGGTCTGGAACACATGAGTTATGAGGAGAGGCTGAGGGAGCTGGGATTGTTTAGCCTGCAGAAGAGAAGAATGAGGGGGGATTTGATAGCTGCTTTCAACTACCTGAAAGGGGGTTCCAAAGAGGATGGCTCTAGACTGTTCTCAATGGTAGCAGATGACAGAACGAGGAGTAATGGTCTCAAGTTGCAGTGGGGGAGGTTTAGATTGGATATTCGGAAAAACTTTTTCACTAAGAGGGTGGTGAAACACTGGAATGCGTTACCTAGGGAGGTGGTAGAATCTCCTTCCTTAGAGGTTTTTAAGGTCAGGCTTGACAAAGCCCTGGCTGGGATGATTTAACTGGGAATTGGTCCTGCTTCGAGCAGGGGGTTGGACTAGATGACCTTCTGGGGTCCCTTCCAACCCTTATATTCTATGATTCTATGATGATATATCACATTGGTGGATGTGCAGGTGAACGAGCCTCTGATAGTGTGGCTGATGTTATTAGGCCCTGTGATGGTGTCCCCTGAATAGATATGTGGGCACAGTTGGCAACGGGCTTTGTTGCAAGGATAGGTTCCTAGGTTAGTGGTTTTGTTGTGTGGTATGTGGTTGCTGGTGAGTATTTGCTTCAGGTTGGGGGGCTGTCTGTGGGCAAGGACTGGCCTGTCTCCCAAGTTTTGTGAGAGTGTTGGGTCATCCTTCAGGATAGGTTGTAGATCCTTAATAATGCGTTAGAGGGGTTTTAGTTGGGGGCTGAAGGTGACGGCTAGTGGCGTTCTGATATTTTCTTAGTTAGGCCTGTCCTGTAGTAGGTGACTTCTGGGAACTCTTCTGGCTCTATCAATCTGTTTCTTCACTTCCGCAGGTGGGTATAGTTGTAAGAATGCTTGATAGAGATCTTGTAGGTGTCTGTCTCTGTCTGAGGGGTTGGAGCAAATGAGGTTGTATTGCAGAGCTTGGCTGTAGACAATGGATTGTGTGGTGTGGTCGGAGTGAAAGCTGGAGGCATGTAGGTAGGAATAGCGGTCAGTAGGTTACCGGTATAGGGTGGTGTTTATGTGACCATCGTTTATTAGCACTGTAGTGTCCAGAAAGTGGATCTCTTGTGTGGACTGGACCAGGCTGAGGTTGATGGTGGGATGGAAATTGTTGAAATCATGGTGGAATTCCTCAAGGGCTTCTTTTCCATGGGTCCAGATGATGAAGATGTCATCAATATAGCGCAAGTAGAGTAGGGGCGTTAGGGGACAAGAGCTGAGGAAGCGTTGTTCTAAATCAGCCATAAAAATGTTGGCATACTGTGGGGCCATGCGGGTACCCATAGCAGTCCCGCTGATCTGAAGGTATACATTGTCCCCAAATGTAAAACAGTTATGGGTAAGGAGAAAGTCAAAGTTCAGCCACCAGGTTAGCCGTGACATTATCGGGGATGGTGTTCTTGATGGCTTGTAGTCCATCTTTGTGTGGAATGTTGGTGTAGAGGGCTTCTACATCCATAGTGGCCAGGATGGTGTTATCAGGAAGATCACCGATGGATTGTAGTTTCCTCAGGAAGTCAGTGGTGTCTCGAAGGTAGCTGGGAGTGCTGGTAGCGTAGGGCCTGAGGAGGGAGTCTACATAACCAGACAATCCTACTGTCAGGGTGCCAATGCCTGAGATGATGGGGCGCCCAGGATTTCCAGGTTTATGGATCTTGGGTAGTAGATAGAATATCCCAGGTCGGGGTTCCAGGGGTGTGTCTGTGCGGATTTGATCTTGTGCTTTTTCAGGGAATTTCTTGAGCAAATGCTGTAGTTGCTTTTGGTAACTCTCAGTGGGATCAGAGGGTAATGGCTTGTAGAAAGTGGTGTTGGAGAGCTGCCGAGCAGCCTCTTGTTCATATTCCGACCTATTCATGATGACAACAGCACCTCCTTTGTCAGCCTTTTGATTATGATGTCAGAGTTGTTTCTGAGGCTGTGGATGGCATTGAGTCTACAGCTAGTAGACTGCATTTAAGCACTGCCTTGGACTAAGGGTGATGAATAAATTACACCATTCCAGTCTCAGGAGGCATTGTGCTTCAGAGATACCCTTCTCCAGGCTTTACACTTACTTTGGAGTGGGTGGGTACAAATATGTTGCTGGTCTGTATCGGTAGAAGACGATAACACCCTCCCACCAATTCAGCCGATATGCTGAGCAACCACAGTTCCCACTGAAGTCAGTGAGAGTTTCAGCTGTTCAGTACCTCTGAAAATCAGGCCACTTATTTAAAAGCCTAAATATGGATGCAGGTGCCTCACTTTGAGCATCCATATCGGGAGATGTCAATTGTAGCTAGAGCTGCTGAAAAGTGAGGATTTTTCCCCTCAAAAAATTTTTTTTCCTTCCAAAAATCCCCTTTAAAAATTTTCCCTGTACGAAATTTAGAAAATATGGAAAACTGTTTCAGTTCCCACTTTCCTAAATTTTCTTATTGTTTCCCAACTTTTTTCAATTGGGAAACAGTAAGAAAAACGAGAGAACATGGGGACATTGCCACTATATGCATTTTGCACTTTGTTATAGTTTGTCAGCTGGAAATGGCTCGGAAGCACTAAGACAGTGGGGGAAATTGTGGAAAAAACGTTTTTTGCTTTTAAAAGTAACATTATCAGCAATTTTACTCCTTTCCAACTGGCAAAATTTAGGGGACAGTAACAAAATAGTGGATTTCCCCTGAGTTTGACTGGTTTCTAACTGGCAAAAGTTGGAAAAAGGCAATTAAATTGGGAAAAACCTGTAGTTTTGAAACAAAAAATAATCCACAAATTAAAATAAATAAATAAATCTTTCCCCCCCCCAACATATTTCATTTATAAAATAAACTGGAAAATGAAAAATTTCCTTTTCAATGACACCCTATTATCTTATGAAAACCTTATCAACCAGAAATGGTTTTGATCAGCTGTACCTGGAGCTTTTAGTATATAAAGTTCACACATCTAAATGTAAAGTAGTATACGTCTTCTTTCCCCTCTTTACATTCCTGCCTGCCTTCATTTTTTTTTATTGCCATTTTTAATACTGTGACAATTTGAGTGAACTTTTTCCCTGTATTGTAAGGGACTATTATTCGGTGTTGAACCTCCCATACACACAGTGATTATGATGTTTAAAGGCAGACTGAATAGAAACAGGTGTGTTTGAACGAAGATGAACATTCACCATTCTTTAAGGATTTAAAAAGTTGCACATTTTTTCCTTATTTCTGAAATGCACAAATGCCTAGAATAAACTGGCAACACCTAACACAAAGCGGCCCTAACTTAATCCTAAGGGAGAATTGTAATAATAATTTTTAAAACACTAAAAGAAGAAAATTAATTCTGCCAAAACCAATAAAAAAGGAAAAGGAAAACTGCTCCAGAAACGGCTATAATTCTTCCACACTGATGCAGGATGTAAACTCCCGTATCAGTTAGTTGGGATATTACATTCTATAATTAATGAATTTTCAACTGGAAAAGAGAAATACATGCCAGTTTCCTGTCAGTGGTCTTAAAAATCCAATGTATTTCTCTAAATAATTCTGTACAACCAAAATAAACCCTGTGGTGAAACAGTCTGCTATATACTAACAACACAGACTTCTCAAATGATCTCTGCTGGCTTTATGATTAGGGACGTGGCTCAGTGCATGTTGTTGGGCTACATGTCTTCTTTCACTTTATGCAAGATTTTAAAGGACGGACTCTACCATCCCATCAGTCCATACCCATGGCTAGTGTACAAACTAAGGGCTAGATTGCAATTTGGACTACATACCCCTGGCACAGCACAAAGGGGAAGTAAAAGCATGCCTATGCTCCTGAACATGGGCTAGCCATATTGTGGGTGTGGGCGTGCCGGGAGAAGCAGCATCTGCTACTCCTCCAGTTCACAGCAAAGGGGATTGGGATGGCATGGTCCTGGAGTAGTCGAACAACATGCTATCCCTTGCTATGGGCTTTTTCCTTATGCACAATCTAGTGCTAAGTGACACAGGGGCTAGATGCTACAAAGAGTACACAGAGTTGGTCAGCAGCAGGAATCAGCCACACTATGCCTTACAACACTGAATGTACTGCATGTACAATACAGCAGTCACACAACAGAATCCAGTATTGCTAGAAATATAGGCAGAACAATTAAAGACTAGGTCATTCATTGTCACACTGAACGAAGCCAGGACAGTTAAAGATAACACACATGACAAACCAACCACTGCTGAGCTCATGGATTTGGGTGTGTTATTGAACATGACTGCATGGGAGTTACTGGCATATGATATTAATGTCACATATCCTGACCAAATGTATGGGCTCTGGAGTCTCTTGCTGACGGATTTAGTAAACAATCACTCTATAGCACTGGTTTAGCTGCCAACACCAGGACCTGCCCACAGTATTCTTATAGTAGCGAGACACCTACCTACCATGTATCTATGCAGTAGGCACTATTAACACAGTCTGATCTCCTGCACATTGGGGAGGTGGTGTCCATTACTGTTTGTGTTATTCTATGGCTTCTCCACTCTTCTGCGGTTTAACAATTGGACTCCTGACCTTGTACTACCATACGGACACAGGCGCTGACTTATATTTTTCCGGATGGGTGCTCCACCGCTGCTCCGCCCCCACTCCACCTTTTCCTGCCACACACTACACAATGCTGTCCTTCCCAGTGCTTTCTCTGAGAATTCAGCTTCTTGAGGACAATAATGGAACATGACTTAGGGGAGAGTCTAGCACAGACCTTGCTCCACTTTACATGCTATTTGCACTACTTTTGATATGTGACTTTTTTTGTCCATATCATCAGGGGTAATCATGGTGGAATATTCTTTTGGATTATCTACTGGGACCCTTCATCTTCAGGGGGAAAAAAAGAGTGGGTGGGGGCTTCTGACAATGCCATGCAAAATGATCAGTCCACACTGGGCTCAGGAAACCAATGGGAGGCATGTTCTGCTAATATGAGGCATTGTGAACAAAGCCAGGACAGTTAAAGATAACACACATGACAAACCCTGTCAGCCCTGGCTGTGGAGATAATTACTGGGTGAACATTAGCCATTTGTATCTGTAGTGCAGAAGGCCAGATTCACTCAGCCAGATTCACACATGGAGAACAGTGACTTGAGAGACAAGGAGGGAAGAATTTGTGAAAAGTCATACGGTGCTGAGACCTGACAAGATTCTTGCATTTTACTGTAGAATCTCCAGTACTCTAGACTCTATCCCTATGAGACTAACTTCAAACCCAGTGCAAAGCACAAGGACAGGGATTTTGACTGGGAGATGCTGAGTGGATGGAATCTTCCCTACCTGTGATCAGGTGCCAGTGCAGAGACTGGCATAGTCACACTACACCACTGTTCTACGTTCTGGATTATAACAGTGGCAAAGGGCTTGTCCATTATTCGGAGGTTGTGCCCAGACCCTGGCCATAAGCCTAACATGCCACAGCCCCAGCCCCAGCAAAGCAGAGCTCAAGGGGTACAGATTCCCCTTACACAGCCTCTGGCCTCTCCTCTCTTCATGCTGAACAGCAGCAGTGGTTCTGGTGCTTGCTAAGCCTTGCTGTGCTGGGAGGGGGCTGAGAAGGGAGTATCAGGATTTATCAAGCTTTCAAATTTAACAAATAAGTAGCAGAAAAACAAAAATAAAACCCCTTATTCAGCTGCAAAGAATTATACACAAAACATTCACAGCAAAACCTGCCTGCATTTGAAATACTGTAAATTGGGTTAATGCTGCAATTTAACTATATTTGCTTTAGTCATGCATTGCTCAATTACACAAAAATATTTGTGCGGCTCTTATTCTGTAATTGCATCTGTGAGGGTTTAAGCGTCTATGTGGATCCAATGGCAGGACTGGAGCCTTGAGCAGTTAAGCATGAAATCTGGTTGCACTAGTCTACCAGCAATTGAGAAAAATATACTGCAGACTTGATTTCCCCATTGTATAGTGATTCAATTTTTAAAAATAGATCTATTTTGGGGTTTTCAATAGTGCTACCTTTTACAACTATACAGTAAGTGATTCAAAGTACAATAGTATCTTCTACAGAGCTCTTCCCCCTGTAAATATCTCAGTGCTGGTGAACTGAGTTGCTATCAGATCTTTAGCCTTTCTGCTCAATTATGTGATTTGCTCACACATTTCTTTTGAGTTAGTCCACTAACTTTCCCTTTGAAAGGACAGAACAAGGCTTTTTGTGCTAGGACTCATCAAATCTAAAGTGTTAAGAAATGTAGTGTCTGCAATACAGAAAAATACATCACTACAAAAAGCCTATTAACTAAAAATGCTGGAGGAAAAATTCTGTGCGCCTACCCTTTTTTAAAAAAAACACTTCATATTGTTTATAGTTCCTTCCTTTGTTCCTTTATTCTGAGAGATCCTAGTGAAATTAACCTTTTTAAAGATACACTTGTCAGGTAGCTAAAGCACAACACTTTGCTGGTAAAAAGCACAGATCCTAACATTTTCATAATATTTATATTTTCAATTAAACTTCTTTGGATCTAAATACTCCCAGCAGTGTTTGCAACCAAAATTTTAGACTTGTGCTAGCATGTGAAAACTGGAAAGTGAATCTGAAATTAAAGTCTGGTTTATATACTGATTAAGCCCAATGAAATACAAAGAATAAGCAAACAGTATTTTAATATTCTTTGTTTTAAAAATCAAAGGTACCACTAGTAATTCTTAACGGGTCTGAGGACCAAGATGGGCAATATGAGGTTCCGCACTAGTGGCAAGTGTCAGACTAGGTGCCTTGTTGCCCTTTCGGGCTAGAAAGAGGAGTTTTAGATCAGTGGAAAGGGAAGATTCCCAGAATCCCAATGGGTCAAACAGTACTTGCTTCTAGCTCTGGAAAGGCCCAAGATATCAGATACATTTGGGATTCTTTAATTTTAAATTCAGGCTAACGTCTTGACCTTGCAAAGAGATCCGTGTGCATGTGTGTGTCCTGCAAAGAGTCCCACTGAAGTCAACATGACTCATGTGGAAGAAAGGGTTTGTACCTTCACCTCTCTGCAGGCTCCATATTTTTTTATATTACACCCACTGTATTTCTGGAGTGAGTTGATGAAAGTGCCCAAAATGCTTTTCAATTTATGTTTCCAAGAATAGTTCAGACTGAGGCCTGTGTTCGTAGAAAGAGGTCTGTCTCTAAAATCCCATTTGTGAATAAATTAGAGTAGTGAAAAGTTAGCTGCATTTTCCCCCACTTTTATCTATACACCTCCCTAGGTTTGCAAAGTTATTTAGAAGGGATTCCAAGTTGCAATACCTTTTCTTTCTACCAGGATTCATAACAAATACATTTTAATACACAATTTTTTCCTTTAGGCTGAAAAATGTATAAAAATCACCACAACAAGCAGTATCAGTAGTAATACTTTAAACCCTAATTTTAGAAAGGCAGACAAAAACCTGCCATGTATTTTATCTCCCTCCCTGCAAAATAAAATCAGAAGTGAATTTCTGTACCTCATATCTCCAAATTTCTTGCTGATGGCTGTTCCTACATTGCTGATAGCTGCTGTTGCCTTCTGTCCTGCATGGCTCAGAGTTTCGTGTGTTTTCTTATAACTAGAAATAAAAGCAAAATAGTGGTAAGTTGGTCATATAAAAAGAGACAACAGATGCTCATCTGTGCTGCAATTCATTTTCATTCTCCATATTTCTAAACTTGAAAACCATTTCTACGAAGGGTTAAGAATGGAGATGGTTTGTCAGGTTAAGGTGTGCAATGCATGATTCTTACGCAGCTTTCCAAATGCAGGCTGGCCCTAATATGGCCATATTACTCTCCAGTGGAGTGAATCCCTCTCTGGGTCCCCCTCAGAGACCATATCCTTTAAATGGGTTGGTGCCATCCATTTAAAGGTGAAATGCAGTGATTCATTATACACCTTAAATTCTGGAATATATTTTAATATAATGAAGATCAAAACAGTTTATAGAAATATCAGACACTATTTCACTAAATCCATCATTGTAAAGTGAGGGGGAAATTGTCCCTCAGCAGCAGCTGATATAGTATTGTACAGATATACATCCCAGCAAAAGTCTGAAGATACAATGTAGGTTTCTAACCATCAGAGGAGTTCTGGAATAGCCTTCCAAGGGAACCAGTGGGGGCAAAAGACCTATCTGGATTTAAGATTAAACTCGATAAATTTATGGAGGAGATGGTATGATGGGATAACATGATTTTGGCAATTAATTGATCTTTAACTATTCATGATAAATAGGCCCAATAGCCTGTGATGGGATGTTAGATGGGGTGGGATTTGAGTTACTACAGAGAATTCTTTCTTGGGTATCTGGCTGGTGAATACTGCCCATAATGCTCAGGGTTCAGCTGATTGCCATATTTGGGGTCGGGAAGGAATTTTCCTCCAAGGCAGATTGGAAGAGGCCCTGGGGGTTTTTCACCTTCCCCTGTAGCATGTGGCTCAGGTCACTTGCTGGAGGATTCTCTGCTCCTTGAAGTCTTTAAACCATAGTTTGAGGACTTCAGTAGCTCAGACATAGGTGAGAGGTTTATTGCAGGAGTAGGTAGGTGAGATTCTGTGGCCTGCATTGTGCAGGAGGTCAGACTAGATGATCATAATGGTCCTGTCTGACCTTAATATCTATGAATCTATGAATGTATGACTCAAAACACATCTTCTGTTTGAGTGCATGGGAAAAGCAAGGAATCTCAAAAGCTGTTGTAAATTTTGCTACAACTTGACTTATAATTTATATTCCTGGACACATCATCATCATCAGAGCTGATCAAGTAACAAAAACAATTGAGTTGAAATTTTAGCACTTTTTCTTGCATTTTTGGTCTAAATACAAAGTTCCTATGAAAAATCAAATTTTGAAAAATGTCAACCAATATTATTAATATTGCAATAGAAAACATAAGGTGTGTCGGCACTACACTTACAGGAAGATACAGTCCCTAGCCACAAAGAGCTTGTACTTTGCCTTTATTAAGTATGTCATAGCCAGTAAAAATCAGGGTGATGACCAGCACATTTATTGTTCTCTGTACAAACACACACACTCCATACATGTGTAGTTTTATATATATATATATATATATATACACACACACTATATAAAAACTCCCCTCAGTTGCTCATATACACTGTCATTGTCTGTGCAATTTTTTTTTTGTTATCTGCAACTATTAATCTTGTAACCTGGTATTTAATCCTTACATCTTACTTTTTTAATTCAAGTGTTGCTTACTTAGGGCTTGATTCTGCTCCACTGAAGTAAATGGTAGTACATCATTGACGTCAATGGGAGTAGGTGCAAACACTTATCGCTTCAGAAAATTAGCTTAATTTTCTCAGTCCTACTCTATATCATTGGACTATCAAAACAGCTTCATATTTGACTTTTATATATGTGTGTATATATATATATTTATTTAAAACACACCCTAAAATGTTTTACTTATCTTTTCAATTAGGTAAAGTAATGCCAATCTTTTGCGTTGCACTTTGTTATTCATTAGATACTGAAGGAAATAAAAACGCTAGTAAGATGAAAAAAGGCTCCTGAAGTAATCTGGACAGCAGATGCATATTCAAAGCAGTTCTGAAATCTTTCTTAAATCACTCATGTAATGTATGGCATGTGTGTTCAGACACAATCGTCCTAATTCACATACTGCTGATTTATAGGACATGCTTTGACTTGTCATGCTTTCATTCCCCCTCAATGCTGTTTAACCTACGACTTGTGAAACAGTTTATCATTCCACTTTTCTGCACTGACAATTCTTTTGCTGAGCAGACAAGTTCTGATCACATTAAAGCCGCCCTCTCTAGAGTATAACATGACGTTTTCAGTGAAGCAAAATAAGCCCCAAATTAGGAATAATGACCTAACAACAAATGAAAGCACTTACAATAAATTACCTTATACTCGGTCTATGTTGGTGGACAGGAACATGAAAGCATTAATTTTGTTGGTCTTATTTATCCTTTCAGCACATGCAACAGAAAAAAACATAGAAAACCATACACTGGAGACCTGTTGGGAAACCTCATTGCCTAGTTCCTTCAGCAGAAAATTGTTGTCTTACTTCCTATACATATGAAAATAATATAGCTTCGGCGGGTGGGGGCCAATGGGGACAAAAGAGAGAAAATAAAATAAAATTTATTCACATTTACCATATAGTATGTCATATATATTACCCACATTACCTCCATGCTATGTCTTTTATAGCATATAATGATAAAAAGCAGAATTAAGAATTGCCAGGCAAATCGTGCTCCTTACTCTGGTAAAATCTCAAACTTGATTACTTCATTTTTTCCCAATGAACACACTTTGGTTATATATACTCTGTCCCCCCAAAGACAAATGTTTGCCAGACGATTCAGCAGGTGACAGTTCTAGAACTTCAGTGCTCTGCTCCTGTTCTCAGTAAGTGACTTTGCTATAATGACTGCAAGTGCTGGAGAAAAGAGCGACTTGCAAAGGAAAGAACAGGGATTATGCCTGGTGGTGGTTTTCTGGGGTTTTTTAATGATATGTAAAGAAGGTGCAAAAGTTAGTTTGTTTTTAAAAGGGTCTCATCTCCCCTTCCCACTCCTGCTTGTTTTTCACCTTAGAAATATCAAGAATGTCACATTTTTTGGTTTGAGTCTTACATGTGTATTGTGAGCTCTCTCAGCACTGTATTGAAAGGAGGCGGGTGAGAATGTTGAATCTTTAACAAAGCAATCTTTTCTCCCAGCTGCATATTTAGATATTGGAGTAAAATGGGTGTTACCAAAAACATACAAAAGCCAGAGAGTTTTAAACATTTTTAACAAGAACTACTTCCCCTCACATTTTATTATGTTTAATTGCTTGGTATCTCTAATACCATAATCTTCCCAGCACTTCTCCACAGACCTGCTCCAAAGTCCATGGAAGTCAAAGGAAGGTCTTTCCAGTAACTTGAATGGGCTTTGGATAGAGCCCCAGCTGTTTAGAAAGCCTTTCAGGGAAAAAAGGTAGACAATGTTTTACTTTTCAACATGATAAACAATTTGGGGGTGAAGGTGGACCATGAAGAAACCTTTTAGGCCTTCTGTATACAACCAAGAAGCTTTAAAAAAAAGGGGGGGGGGTACAAATCCATTGTTTTCCCTCATTTTTAGGTCACCTTTCAAATGCACATTCAGGAACCAGGCTTGCTAAGCAGACCTGATATCTGGCCTTTCAACCTCCAGGTCATCAATTCAAATCCACTGCAAGTTGGTGACAGAAGGTTTTATTTGACAGTTGATTGATAACATCTGCCAAATAAGTTGGCGGTCTCATTCAAATTCACAGCAGACAGATGCTCACCTCACAGAATGCCATCAAAACTGGCTCCACAAGGGGGTGCCCCAGCAACGAGAGCAGGACTGAATAACCATGGCGACTGAAACCTCATCTTAATAGGGTTGCCAACTTTCTCATTGCAGAAAACTGAACACCCTTGCCCCACCCCCACCCCTTTTCATAGACCCTGCCCCCTGCCGCCAGCCCCAGAGTTCCCATTGGCTGTGGTTCGCGGACAATGGGAGCTTCAGAGCCGGCGCTCAGGCAGCATGCGGAGCCTCCTAGGCCACCCCTGCACCTTGGGGCCGCCAGGACATGTCACCACTTCCAGGAGCCATGCAAAGCCCGGGCAGGCAGCCAGCCTTAGACCCGCTGCACCGCCAACTGGACTTTTAATAGCCTGGTCAGCAGTGCTGACCACCACCCTTAGGTGATGCCAAAGCCGGGGTTCTAGCACACTGCTGGAGCAAAGTAAGGAAGTTCCACTTAGTGTGACAAAGCTCTGTCCTTGCCTCCGTGAGTCCTGCATTTCCTGGCGGATTTTGCTAGCCTCAGAGGCTCACTGTGACCCTCCACGTAACCCTTCTCTCTCTCTAGAGAGAAGGGTCACAGTCTACTGAGCCATTTTCATCATAAGCCAGCGAGGGAGATGAGAAGTTATCCTTCCTTGCACAGTCTCTGTCTCCCAGTCTCAGTGATTAATGAGGGGGCAAAGTGGGGGGGGGAGCCCGGGCCCACCCTCTACTCCGGGCTCCAGCCCAGGGACCCTAATAGTATCAGCTATGGTAGCTGACCTTTTAGAAACATGACATGTACAATTCCCTGGGCTACTTGCCCCACAGCAGCTCTCACTTCCTCAAGCTCCACTTCACCCTTACCTTAGGGCCTCCTTCCTTGTGACCGATATGGTGTGTACTACTCAGTCTCTCCAACAGCACAACTTCCTCCCACAGCTCCTGACATGCACACCCACCTGACTAACTGGGAGGCTTTTAACTAGTTTCAGTCAGCCCCTGATAGGTTGATTGGGACACCTGAAGCCAAGCATTCTCCCTGCCTTCTGGAAAGTTAATTGGCCCCAGGTGTCTTAATTGATCTGGAGCAGCTGCCATTTCACTTATCCTGGTACCAGGGATTTATTTAGCCTGGAGCTAATATATCTATCTCCCACTACTCTTCTATAGCCATCTGGCCTTGCCCCATCACATTAGCTTGTAAGCTCTTTGGGAGCTGGGACTGTCTTTGTTTTGGTTTGTATAGCG